ACCACACACGAATGCGTGTGCCCTGGACAGCTGTGTCTGTCGACGCAAATTCCTTTGTTATCAGAAGCGGACGTCACAGGTGAGATAGCAGACCCACGAAGGCCACTGAATCAGTCGCTTTCATTTCCACCTGCGGCGTTTTGCTCAGCTTCGTAATCGTTAAGCCGGTTGTACAATGTTCTCAGCGACATTCCCAGTATATCTGCAGCTGCCTGCTTGTCCTCTCCATTGGCTTCAAGGGTTGCAAAAATAAGCTTCCGTTCAGCATCCTCTATCGATTCACCAACAGAAATATGTAAAGCCTCTCCAGCGCCTGCAGCAGCCATTTCTGGCAGGTGCTCCGGCGTAATCTCCCTGTCCGCCATAATGTAAGCCTGCTCGATTGCGCTGCGCAGCTCGCGCACATTACCTGGCCAGTTGTGTTCTTCAAGCCGCTCCAGGGCGGCGCTCGACAGCGTTATAGCCTGGTGGTTTTTTTCATTCAGCGCATCGATAAAGTACTGTATGAGGCCGGCAATATCATCCTGACGCAATCGCAGCGGCGGCAATCGAATCGGAAAGCGAGCGATACGGTAGTACAGATCCTCACGCAGCAGGTTGTCCGCTATTGCAGCCTGGGGCTCTCGGTTCGTTGCAGCAACAATGCGGACATTGCTCTGTAAATCCACCTCCCCACCAACACGACGATATGCGCCCACTTCCAGAACGCGCAGCAGTTTAGCCTGCAATTCGATGGGCATTTCTGCCAGCTCGTCAAAAAATAGCGTGCCGCCCTGTGCACGTTCAAAAAAACCTTCATGTTTACGCTCTGCGCCACTGAAACTACCTTTCTCATGGCCGAACAACTCGCTTTCAAAAAGGTCTTTGGGGATAGCCGCACAGTTTATAGCCTGAAAAGGTCCCGCGGCGACATCGCTCATCTGATGCAGCGTGCGGGCGACCAGTTCTTTGCCCGTGCCGCTTTCGCCTATCAGCAGGACACTGGTATCCGTCGGCGCAACTTTGCGCAGTAGCCGATAGAGTTTGCGCATCTTCGCAGAACTGCCGCGCAGCTCGCCAAATTGATCAAGCGGCTCTATCGCCTGGTCATCCTGCAACGGCACAGACTGTTTAGCTTCTTCGAACAAATCCGCCACAAGTGGCGTTAGAAATTCGGCGTCAAAAGGTTTGCAGAAGAAGTACGTTGCGCCTTGCGCAATCGCCTGCCGCACCCGGGGTGCATCATCTTCTTCGGCCATGAGAAAGACCTCGGAGTTGTCCTGCTGAACCGCCGTATCAATCAAGCCCGCAAGGTCAATATCCGGCAGATCCATGCTGAGAAACAGAACCTTGGGCTCGCCAGCGCCTGGTAAGGCGTCTGTCGACACGTCGACTTCAAACCCTACTTTTTCCAGCAGCTCAACCAGAGCCGCCGTATGCTCAGAGGGTTGATCAAAGATACGTGCGCGAGGATGACTCAAAAGCCCGGCGCTCGCATGGTGCCAGACATTAAAAACATAAGGATCATTGAAGAAATTGCACACTTCATAAGTGCTGTAAGTATCGTCGCACCCACAAGCCATGGCAACGCCACACTTGTGTAATGGCAAAACTTAACTCTGCTACCAGGTCACGAGGGGGTAATAACCTGCGTGGTTTCACAACCGTGCAACCCGGGGAGCACGAATGAGCAAAGCAGGTCAGGCCTCGCACCTGCGGGGCAACTGGGCACCTTGGCTGCTGAAAATTTCGACGGCGCCGGGCGGCACGGGCAAAGATGAAGGCTGGATATCAGACTAGCCGGCGATAGGGTGAATCGGGAAAGTGAATTTTCACCGGCTCACCGCTTAAAGTTGTCGCCAGGTGAATAAAAAAGCTGCCGACACCTGCAGCCCCCTGCATGTAACCCGTCTGGCTTTGGATAAAATCAGGTTGAGATCGATGTTCTGCCTGAGGCCAGTGAAGGCTCTGATCGTCACCGGCGCTACGCCGGACCAGTTCAGCCGCGGATCGCCGTGCCAGGTCCAAGTAGAACCCGTCCTGGGTGACACGATACATACACACGGCATGGTCGCCGATGCCAGCATCACAACAGCACTGGCTGATATTGTTCCATAACCCGCGCCCTCTCGTTTCCGGCGCGCCCAAGGCCACAAGCCCATCATCCAAGCCACGCTCCCAGTTCATCCACGCTGGATCTGCGGTAATCTCCCCAAGCAGGTAAAACAGCCGCGCGGTGCCTGCCGGACCATGACACACCCCCAGATAAAATCTGTCAGGATCACCATCGTCTAGAATGTGAGGAACCAGGTGACCACCACCCTCAATATTTTTTGCCATCGCCTGCACGTGTCCGGCACCCGCCAGCGCTGCATCCAGATATTTCTGCTCCTGTGTGTGCTCAAACAGGCGCGCAAGAAAATAAGCAACGCCAGCAGTACCATGGGCAAAGTTCGGGGCGTCAAAAGGCCAGGGGATATCTTCCATCAGCTGCCAGCGAAGGCCGCCTTGTGCCGGTTCTGCAACTTCCAGCAAACGGCTGCCTGCTGACGTCGCCCAGTTCAAAGCCTGCTCATGAACACCCTCTTCATGTGCATAAAGCCATGCCATCGCCGCGCCGGCGGCGCCTTCTGCGACATCGTACAATTCTCTCTGTCCAGAAAAGCCCGTGAGCTTGGCATAAGGCATTTCCTGTACCCACCCCAACCCAGCACCAACCTGCACCGCCTGATCTCGCTGTTTCTGCGCGCAATACTGCGCACTGTCTGTAAAAACCGGGTCTGCAGTTGCTTGTGCCAGCTCATTCATGACAAACAGATAGCCGCCCCAACCGCCCATCAGCGCACAGGGCAATTCGTCCAACTGCTTAAGTTGGTGAACGATCTCACGTCCAGCAGCGGTTGCTGTCTGCAGAAAACGCTTTTCATGTGTGGCGGCGTACAACTCCAGATAAAACAGCGCAATGCCGGCAGAACCCGAATACAGGTTGTGGAAACGTTTATTCGGCACTTCTTCCGCCAGAGACCACAGCAGCCCATGCTCTGTTTCACTCTGATGGCGGGCTATCCAGCGTTCAGCGCTGAGCGCCACATCCAGATAGTCGTCTGCCGACTTAAGGTTAATCTCCACCGCCCTCTCCCCGGAGAAGTTCTTTCAATTTGTCGTCAATAACTCAGCCTTTGCATATTCGGTTATGGCTTTATAGTCTGCTTTTCCATTGCTGGCGCGACCAAGGCTGGCTTTGACCAGCACACGTTTTGGTGTTTTGTAACCGGCCAGATGCTTGCGTGCATGGGCCTGTATTGCTGCTTCATCAAGTACCAAGTCGCCATCGGGCTGTACCACCGCTGTAACCATCTGGCCCCACTTGTCATCCGGTAAACCCACAACCAGGGCATCAAGCACACCTGGATAGGTTTTCAACACTTCCTCCACCTCTTCCGGATAAACCTTTTCTCCCGCTGTGTTGATACAGACGCTGCCGCGCCCCATGAGAATCAGCGTGCCATCTGCGGCGACCTTGCAGAAATCACCAGGGATGGAGTAACGCACACCATTTATTTCAGGAAAGGTTTTTGCCGTTTTCTCCTCATCTTTATAGTAACCCAGAGGAATCGGACCAGACTTGGCAACAAAACCCGCTTCGTCACTGCCGGGTAAAACTTCACGGAAATCTTCGGTGAAGACTTTGCAGCTTTCACCCAGCTCAAAACGTGCAACCTCCATGGTGCCTTCCGCCGTTGTAATGGAACGGCCAAAACCAACTGCTTCAGATGCGCCAAAGGAGTCTGTGAGCACCATGTTGGGATTATGTTTCAACAATCCGGCTTTCACCTCAGGGCTCCACATCACGCCACTGGAGACCATGCCAAGCAGTGAGGAGATATCGTATTCTCCTGGATGTTCATCAAGTTCGCGCAGCATGGGCTTTGCAAAGGCATCACCGACAATGGCAAGCGCGTTCACTTTGTGTCGCGCAACCGTCTCCCATAACTCCTTCGGGTCAAAGCCATGTCCTTCCAGGGTGACTACGGCGCCGCCACGCGCCAGGGTCGAAATACCCGTAAACAAACCGGTGCCATGCATCAAAGGGCAACAGGGAATCGTGGTACCGCCACTGACAGCCGCAGCCACATTTTGCAGGTGAACCTGCATATCCGCGGCAGGCTGCAGATCAGCCGCTATTGCCGCACCTCCTCCCACCGCGTGCCAGTGATCATCATGGGTCCACATGACACCTTTGGGCATACCCGTAGTGCCACCGGTATAGAGAAACAGCATATCGTCTCCGCTGCGCTCAAGCCCCAACGGCGCGCCATCACCCTGTTCTGCAAGCTTTTCATAACTGCTGGAAAATGAAGCTGTGGGCGCATCTTCACCACAGACTTCTACCCAGAGTGTGACTTCCGGCAGGCGCTCCCGAAGCGCTTCAACATGGCCTGCAAATTCGCGATCGTAAACCACAATCTTGGCATCCGAGTTATCCAGGATGTACCACAGCTCGTCATCAACATAACGGAAATTCACGTTCACATGGGTCAAGCGGGCCTTGAAGCAGGCGCCTAACGTTTCACTATAGGCGGGAGAATTGCGCATATAAAACGCAACCTTATCTCCCGTTTTGGCACCGTGCTGTAAAAATCCGGCGCCTAAATTATTCGTACGGCGAGTAAAATCTGCCCAGGTAATCACCCGATCACCATGAATCAGACAGGCTTTGTCCTGCGGCACCACTTCTGTGATGCGATCTAAAATATCCCCATAATTCCAAGCCATGTTCCCCTCCCAGGATTTAAGTTACTTAGTCGCTCCCATCAAACGGCATCATCTGATCACCAGAAGCGATGGTTGCACGAACATACCGTTTTATCTTACCGAGACGCTGTCGCCGTAGCCATGCCTTTGGTCCAGAGAACTGCGCACCCCTGACGTTTGCAGCTTAACCAGGCTAGACTCTGACCGCTGCAACACCCGGAATGCAAACAGTGAGCAAAAGTTCGAGAAAACGTTGTGTCGTTGTCATGTACGACACCCTGTGCCGACATTTCATGCCCAGCTACGGCAATGACTGGGTCAAAGCACCCAACTTTGCTCGACTGGCAAAGCGGTCAGTGCAGTTTGATAATTTCTACGTCGGATCCATGCCCTGCATGCCGGCCAGACGCGAAATGCACACCGGCCGCTACAATTTTCTGCACCGCTCCTGGGGGCCGCTGGAGCCCTTCGATGATTCAATGCCAGCCATTCTCGATGCCAACGGCGTGCATACGCACAAGGTGACAGACCACTATCACTACTGGGAAGACGGTGGCGCAACGTACCACCAGCGCTTCACAACATTCGATCTGGTGCGCGGCCAGGAGGGTGACAAATGGATCGGTGACGTCGGCAAACTGCGCGACCCGAACTACGGGGCAGAGCGATGGCCGGAACACCAGCGGGTCAGGCTGCAGAAACAGGATAATATCAATCGGGAACACATGACACGCGCAGCCGAGCAACCCCAATATAAAACTTTCAGCCTCGGGCTGGATTTCATCGAGCGCAATCTGGAAACGGATGACTGGTATGTGCAGATCGAAACCTTCGACCCCCATGAACCATTTTTCTCCCAGCAGGAGTTTCATGACCTCTACCCGCACGAATACGACGGTCCTGAATTTGATTGGCCACCCTATCGGGAAGTGAGGGAAGATGAGCAGACTATCCAACACATCCGCTACATGTATGCGTCCCTCGTCTCATTCTGCGACCAGCAGCTGGGCCGCGTATTAGATCTGTTTGACAAACACAATCTGTGGGAAGACACCCTGCTGATTGTTAATACCGATCATGGTTTTCTGATGGGGGAACACGACTGGTGGGCAAAAGTGGTCACGCCATTTTTCCAGGAAGTTGCGCACATACCATTCTGGATCTACGACCCACGACAACCGGAATGTGTTGGCCATAAGCGCAACGCGCTGGCGCAGACTATTGATTTACCGCCGACCATCCTGGATTACTTTGGTGTCGACATTCCAGCCGACGTGCAAGGCAGCACGCTGACAGAGCGTATGCTCTACGATGAGCCACATAGACAAGCCGTCCTATATGGTGTCATGGGGGGGCAGGTAAATGTCACAGATGGCCGATACGTCTATATGCGAGCCCATGCAACTGAAAACAACACCCCTTTATTTGATTACACACTGATGCCAACCCACATGCACAGCATGTTCTCTGTCCGTGAGATGCAGGACTGGGACAAACACGAGGGTTTTGTGTTCACCAAAGGCTGTCCCGTTATGCAGATTCCAACACGCACCCCGAAGGCTTTCCTGACTAATAAAACGCCTTACGGCAGCGGGCGGACGGCCACGTTACTGTTTGATGTGGTGAATGATCCTGCCCAGGAACAGCCGATTTTCGACATTGAAGTTGAAGCACGCATGATGACGCTGATGATCAGAGAAATGGCCCGCAATGACTGTCCTCCGGAACAGTATGAACGCCTTGGGATTCCCGCAGCGTCTAAATCTGCAAAGGGGCATCATGACGACAGCATAACCATGCCAACAGATGCAGCAATTCGCGCTGCGTGCGTGCTGCAAAGACAGTCAGCCCAGGCAGCAGCCAACCAGGGCATAAGGGCGTTGCCCATGATGCCATTTCGCAGCCTGATGGAGAATGAACCCCCTTTCCCGCACAATCTGCGCTTGAAACCGGGGTATCCTCACCGTTAACGTGCGTCTGTAAAGCAGGCGCCAGAACATTACGTCGCCAAAAGTCTTCACGCTCCTTTCTAGTCTCTGACGAGCCATCACCCCTTATACGCAGCGTTTGTTCAAGGGTGATTTAATCATCGGACAGCTGATGTTCAATTAGCCCATCTTATCTGGAATGAGCAGGTCTGAGATTGAACCTCACAATATCCCAGCATTAGATTTGTAGCCCTCCACCAGCGGTGGCAGAATCAGGACTCAAATCCAGACCCAGGCTGCACCCATGTATGATCTCCTGATTAAGAATGCGACTGTTGTTGACGGTACTAATCAAGCAGAATTCCGCGCAGATGTTGCGGTCAGCAGCGGCAAAATTGTGGCTGTCGATAAGGACTGCAAATTAGCGGGTGCGACCAGGACGGTAGACGCCAGCGGCTTACTCCTGACACCTGGGTTCGTAGATATTCACACCCACTACGACGGTCAGGTCTGCTGGGACAAGCAGGTCACACCCAGTTCATGGCATGGCGTGACCACTGTAGTGATGGGCAACTGTGGTGTGGGTTTTGCGCCGGTACACCCGGGCACTGAAGGAGAACTGGTCGCGCTGATGGAAAGCGTTGAAGACATTCCCGGCACTGCCCTGCACGAAGGCATACCCTGGGGTTGGGAGTCTTTTGGCGAATACCTGGACACCATCGATACACCCTACACTATGGATATCGGCACCCAGGTACCTCATGTGGCCATTCGACATTACGTGATGGGAGAACGCTGTTACGACGATGCTACAGCCAGTGACATGGCTGAAATGCGCGATATCACCCACCAGGCGCTCAAAGACGGCGCGCTGGGATTTTCTACCTCAAGGTTTTATGGACATATGGACAAACGTGGCCAGGTTGTGCCTGGAACCCACGCCTCTGCCGAAGAAATGTGCACCATCGGCGAGGCGTTTGCTGGACTCGACCATGGCACGATAGAGATCATTTCAGATTACCTGGAAGATGACGAAGAACTCTCCTGGATCGAACACATTGTGCGCAGTACCGGTCGCCCGATTACCACTCTGGCCAGTGCAAACAAAGGTAAACTCTGGCAGCTTGCCGAACGACTTGAGGCAGATGGTTTAACGCTACGCCCACAGATTGGCGCACGCCCGGCTTCGATTCTGATGACCCTTGAGGGCACCATCAACCCGATGCGGCAACACACCGCTTATCGCGAAATCCAACACTTAGGTTTAAGTGAACGACAGGACGCCTTGCAGGATCCCGGATTTCGCCAGCGTGTGCTCACAGAAGCGCCTATATTGCCACGCAACAAAGACGCGCAACGTTTCATGAATGACTACCAGCGTATTTTTGTGATGGACGAAGCGTTGAGTTACGAGCCCGGTGCAGCCGACTCCGTCGCCGGGATCGCTGCAGCTAAAAATCTCAACCCTCTCGAGGTGATCATGGACACCATGGCCGCAGGCATTCCACTGCTGGTGTTCTTCACGGGCTACAAAGACGACCTTGAACCACAGCGCAGAATCATCGAAGAAAAACTATCGGTGTTTGGCTTATCCGATGGCGGCGCGCATTGTGGCGTACTTGTTGACGCCAGTGTACCCACTTACATGCTGGCCTATTTCACTCGGGACCGACAGCGCGGCCCAAAGATGTCATTACCTTTTGTTGTGCACAAATTGACCCAGGATACAGCCAGTCTTTACGGGCTTCACGATCGCGGCGTCATTGCGCCCGGGTACAAAGCCGACCTCAATCTCATCGATTACAAAAAACTGAAATTACACGCACCGGAAATGGCATACGACTTACCGGCCGGCGGCAAACGGCTGGTTCAAAAAGCAGACGGTTACCATATGACCGTCTGCAATGGCGAGGTGACGTATGAACATGGTGAACACACGGGTGCCTTGCCAGGCAAATTACTGAGGGGTGGTTCAGCCACGCCTTAAGGGTGGCGAATTATCGCGCTCTGGCGTAAACGTCCGTGATAGCATTCTGAAGGGATAATTGGAGGGGAAGCCAATGAGAACTTTACGTGCCGCGATCTATCGCAGCTGCACTCTGGTGTGCCTGGCTGCAGCTGCACTGTTAGTACCCGCAACCAGCATCGCCGACTCCGTCCCACCACCTGACAACACCCTTTCTGAAGCTGAGCGAAATGCAGGCTGGCAATTACTGTTTGACGGCCAAAGCCTTGAGCAGTGGCGTACTTACGGTGAGCAGACGACTAGATCGGCATGGCAGATTCAAGACGGCGCAATTGTCCTCACCCAACGGGGCGGCGGCGACCTGATAACCCGTGAAGCCTTTGAAAACTTTGAACTTCAATTGCAGTGGAAGATTGCTGAAGGCGGCAACAGCGGTATATTTTTTAATGCAGACGAGAGCGAACTACCTATCTACGTGCACGCGGCAGAAATTCAGATCCTTGACGACGCCCGTCATCCGGATAATAAAAAGGCAAACAGACGCTCAGGCTCTCTCTACGACCTGATCGCAGCACCGCCGACCTCGCAAAAACCCGCTGGGGCCTGGAATCACGTTGTCATCTCACACCAGAACGGACACTTACAGACGTGGCAGAATGGTGTCCAGACTGTAGATATCGACCTGCACAGCAAAGCATTCATGCAACTGGTTGCGGACAGTAAATTTGCCGACTGGCCAGGATTTGCTGAAAATGCAAATGGCTATATCGGCTTACAGGACCACGGCGACGTGGTGTCATTCAAGAATCTGAAAATTCGCACATTGGACGGGGCACAGTGAGCTTCAGCCATCAGGGTTTTGCATACGATGCCGTGGTGGTCGGCTCTGGTGCTGGTGGCGGCATGGCAGCCTTTGTCCTCACTCAGGCCGGTCATCGGGTACTGATGCTGGAAGCGGGTCGCGACTACGACCCGAAAACTGAAACGCCGATGTTTAACACCGCGGCCCAGGCGCCATTACGTGGCACTGCTACGCCAGACAAACACTTTGGTTTCTACGATGCTACCGTAGATGGCGGTTGGGAAGTCCCCGGAGAACCCTATACCACCGCGCCGGGCAGTGAATTTCTCTGGTGGCGGGCGCGCATGTTAGGTGGCCGAACAAATCACTGGGGCCGTTTTTCGCTGCGATTCAGCGAACATGATTTCAAAGCTTACAGTCGTGATGGCCTGGGGGCAGATTGGCCCATCGAATATTCTGATCTCGCGCCCTGGTACGACAAAGCTGAAACGCTGATTGGCGTTTCAGGAGACAACCCCGGGCTCGATGATATGCCTGATTCGTCACCAGGGGTATTACAGCCACCGCCACCGCCCCGGGTGCCGGAGTTACTGCTGTCAGCCGCAGCCAGGAAACTTGGCATACCAACAGCGTATATGCATCGCGCTGTGCTGACGAAACCGCTGGATGATCGACAGGCTTGTTTTTACGCAACCCCATGCGGCCGTGGCTGCTCTATCGGTGCGGCTTTCCAGACCACAACCTCTTTATTACCGATGGCGATGGCAACCGGCCGTTTGAAAATTGTTACCAACGCGATGGTCAGCAAAGTAACAAGCGACCAGAACGGTAGAGCGCAGAGCGTCACCTATGTGGACCGAATAACGCAAAAAGCCATCAACGTCCCGACAAGGGTATTAATACTGGCAGCCAGTGCCTGCGAAAGCGCACGCATTCTGCTGAACTCCAGGGACGATAGACATCCTCACGGCCTGGCTAACAGCAGTGGTGAGCTGGGACGCAACCTTATGGATTCCACCGGCGCCAACTTTGCAGGTTACATTCCCAGCCTGGAAAACCGACCGCGATACAATGAAGACGGTAATACGTCCAACCACCTGTTCATTCCCTGGTGGGGACACAAAGCACAGGCCCGCGGCGAGCTCGATTTCGCACGAGGTTATCATTTCGAATTGGGTGGCGGTTTTGGTGCACCGGGGATGAGTATCGGCAGGTTGGCTGAAGGGTATGGAGCTGCTTTGAGAGCCGGCGTCCAGAAAGGTTATGGTTCAAGCATTGGTCTGGCGCTGAGAGGCGAAATGCTCCCTAATTCCAATTGTTATATGGAAGTTGACAAACAGGTGGTCGACAAATGGGGCATTCCCGTACCCAAGTTCCACTGGCGCTGGTCAGAACAGGAATTAAATCAGATCGCTCACGGCCAGAAAACAGCACATCAGATCATCAAAATCATGGGCGGTCAGGTTTATAACCCAGACCAAACTCCGGAAGATGCGCTGAAAAAAGGCGGCGAGATCATCCATGAAGTGGGCACCACGCGCATGGGTTCAAACCGCCGGGATTCAGTCACCAATCAATGGGGCCAGGCCTGGGATATGCCTAACCTGTTTGTCATGGACGGCGGCGTCTTTGCTTCAAATCCGCATAAAAACTGTACCCTGACCCTGATGACGCTTGCGATGCGCAACGCCGATCATCTGAGTGCAGCCATGCACACAGGTAAGGTATGAAGACCATGATCAGCCGCCGCGAGTCACTGCGACGGATGATGCTATTGGCCGCTGGCTGGGGTATGCCTTTCAGCTTCGCGGCGGCCAGCGACCTCAGCGCTGCGGACTGGGTAAGCGTTGATCCAAAGCCTGTGAGTGCACCGGGCTATGGTACGGACCCAAACTTACTGCATCCGGCACCGGCGCCCTGGCCTAAAACCCTCACAGATGAGCAGCTGACGCTGATCTCCACCCTGGCGGATATCCTGATACCCGCAGACGGCACTTCGCCGAGTGCGTCCAGCGCAGGTGTGGTCGAGGTTCTGGATGAATGGGTGAGCGCCCCTTATCCAAGCCAACAGGCACACCGGGCCCAGATTCTCTCTGGCCTGCAGTGGTGCAACGCCCAGGCACAACATCTGTTTGGTGAACCGTTTACGGCACTTAAGCCTGACCAGCAGCTGAATATCATTGATGAGATCGCATACCCCATCGCCGATGACCCAGAGGATGAGCAGTCACCGGTTCAATTCTTCAGTCTGTTGCGCACCCTGGTTGCCGGTATGTATTACACCAGTCCAGCGGGCGTGCTGGAACTGGATTATCAGGGCAATGTGCCGATCAGCGGAGATTACCCGGGGCCAAGCCGTGATGCCCTGCAACACTTGAACACCATCAAAGCCGAGTTAGGGTTAGAGTAATTGTAGCGCCCTGCCAATCAGGATCCACACGAGGAAATCCGTTTTGTCAAAAACTGAAACCAAATTTGACGCTATTGTCGTCGGCTCAGGCATATCCGGTGGGTGGGCGGCTAAAGAGCTGACCGAGCGCGGGTTGAATGTCCTGTTGTTGGAGCGCGGCAAAGACGTTGAACATGTCAAAGACTACATCAACGCCCGCAAAGGTCCCTGGGAATACCCGCACCGTGGACAACGCACCTACGCCATGGAAGAAGCTTACCCTGTCTTACGTCGCGACTATCCGTTAAACGAGCGCAACCTGGACTGGTGGGCGTCCGACCAGGACTCACCCTATACCGAGGTGAAACGGTTCGACTGGTATCGCGGCTATCAGGTTGGAGGCCGGTCACTCACCTGGGGGCGGCAGAGTTATCGACTGGGAGACCTCGACTTTGAAGCCAACGCGCGCGAAGGTATCGCGGTAGATTGGCCTGTCCGCTACGACGAGTTGAAACCCTGGTACGACCACGTTGAACGTTTTGCCGGTATTTCCGGTTCGAAAGAGCGGCTGCCACAACTGCCGGATGGCGAGTTTCAGCCTGCAATGCCTTTAAACTGTGGTGAACAACAGGCCGCAGAGCGTCTGCAAAGTGCCTTTGATGGGCAACGTCATATCATTCCCGGTCGGGTGGCCAACCTTACCCAACCCCTTCCAGGTCGATCACCGTGCCAGTACCGGGCCGCCTGCTATCTGGGCTGCCCATACGGTGCCTATTTCAGCAGCCAATCATCTACGCTGCCCGCTGCGATGGCGACAGGCAGACTGATTCTGCGGCCGTTTGCCATCGTTACCGAACTGAACTACGACAAAGATACACAGCGGGTTGTTGGCGTGCGCGTGCAGGACGCGGTCACTAACAATACAACTGAGTACCAGTCGAAAATTGTTTTCCTGTGTGCCTCCACCCTCAATTCAACCTGGCTGTTAATGCGCTCAGCAACAGACGTGTGGCCTGGCGGCTTAGGCAGCAGTTCGGGTGAGTTAGGCCACAACCTGATGGACCACCATTTTCGCCTGGGTGCGCGCGGACGCCTGGAAGGCCTGGACGACAAATACTATTTTGGGTCACGCCCAACCGGCTTCTACATCCCACGCTACAGAAACATCAACGGCGACAAACGTGACTATTTGCGTGGCTTTGGATACCAGGGTTCCGCCTCGCGGGGCGACTGGTCGCGAGCGGTCAGAGAATTGGGCATTGGCGCCAAATTCAAAGACGCCCTCACGCAGCCCGGGCAGTGGAGCATCGGTGCCACCGCGTTTGGCGAGATGTTACCCGACCATAATAATAAAATTTCGATAGACGAAACACGCACAGATAAATGGGGGCAACCGGTCCTCGCTATCGATTGCGAAATTGGAGAAAACGAAAAACTCATGCGCATAGACATGATGAATGACATGGCGGAAACCCTGCAGGCGGCAGGCGCTGTAGATGTTCAAACCTATGACGCAGGTTATGCCCCCGGCCAGGGTATCCACGAGATGGGTACAGCGCGTATGGGGCGGGATCCCACCACGTCTGTGTTAAACCGCTGGAACCAGGTCTGGGACGCCCCTAACGTGTTTGTTACGGATGGCTCGTGTATGACCTCCGCCGCCAATCAGAATCCTTCGCTTACCTATATGGCGCTTACTGCACGTGCAGCAGACTATGCAGTGGCAGAACTGAAACGTCAGAATCTGTAGAAGACTCACTATGACAACAACCGAACACAACAGCGACGACCAGCAGGCTCACCCAACGCGGCGCGACGTAATTAAAAACGCGCTTTTACTCAGCGGGTATACATCACTGCTCGGTACAGGCGCACTGGCAGCTGGATGCTCAACCACCATGAACCGCTCCCAGGCGGTCACCTCAACAGCCTTCAGCGCTGAACAGATCCAGTGGCTGGACGAGGTGGCTGAAACCATTCTTCCGGAGACCGACACACCAGGCGCCAAGGCCGCGGAAGTCGGGGCGTTTATCGCCATCATGGTGACCGATACCTATTCACCCGAGGAGCAGGCGCTGTTTCACGCCGGGACCAGAGAACTCGAATCACAGTGTTATGCAGCGTATGGAACAGGCTTCATGGACGCTACAGCATCAGAACGTCAAACGTTGTTAGAGCAACTGGATCAGGAGCAAATCACCTATACGCTCAACAAACCAGCGGACGCTGCGCCACATTATTTTCACACCATCAAACAGTTAACTGCGTTTGGCTACTTCACTTCCGAAATCGGCTACAACCAGGCGCTTCGATATGTGGAAAGCCCGGGGCGTTTTGACCCCTGCGTTGAGTACACCCCTGGTGAACGCGCCTGGGCAAGACACGCCTGAACTATTGGGCCGCAGGCGTTTCCAGATTGAGCAGCTCGATATTGCGAAACTGAATAGGATGCCCTTCGCTTTGCAGCGAAATGTAACCGGCATCCAGCACTTTACCTTCCGGTTTCATTTCTGCCCGGTGTCCTGATACCACGCCACCACCGGTTGTTATGCCACCGTAACTCATGACTTCTACACCGTTCACAAAATGGCTGATCTGTTTGTCACCCAAAACCAGCACTTCAATCTGCACCCATTGGTCATCATGGATCGTTGGTGCTGTCGAAAGGATACAGTGGGTATCGGTGAACTCACCCTGATAGACGATATGAGTGCCCGGCGAACACATATTAGCTGTTGGTCGCTGGGCCCCATCATTCAATCCGCCCAGAAACTGCACCTCGATGGAAATCGGGAAATCCTGGGGTGCCGGCATGGTCTGCGGATCCTGACTGTGCACCATGACCCCACTGTTCTTGAATGCCCAGGCCGGCGCTCCAGGCGCCTGTTCGCCAATGAAGCGATATTCAAGACGCAGACGATATCGACTGTAGGGGGTGACGTAAAACAAGTGACCAAACTGATTATCAAAATCTCTGTAATTGGCGTAGGAAACGGTCAGCAGGCCATCTTCTACGGTGAACGTCTGCGCAGGATCTTCACCAAATTCATAACCGCGAATCTTCGGCTGCCAGTCAGTGAGGTCTGTACCGTTAAACAGAGACTGCCACTTGTCCTGCGCCGCAACAGGCATGCAGATCAATAGCACAACAATGAGCATGGACCGATTGAACATCATGATCTCCGCTTAATACCTGAGCTTCTGCAGCGTTTCGATACTGTATTGAACGGAAGCCAGGGAATCCTGCGGGCGATCATGCTCAACAAAGTAGTGCTGCAGACCGCTGCCCGCGGCAAACAGCGCTGAGAAATCTATCTCACCTTGACCTACTGAAACCATTTCACCTGTCGCCGTGCGGTCTTTGACATGACACAGAGGGAACCTTTCCGGAGCGACCTGCAGGTAGCTCCGCGCATCAATCCCCGCATGGGTCGCCCAATACAGATCCAACTCAAATTGAACCAGTTCAGCATCACACCCGCGCAGCATGAGGTCATAAGCCAACTCGCCACCCAGCATTGCAAACTCAAAATCATGGTTATGGTAACAGAGCTGCATACCCGCATCGCGACATTGCTCACCGAAGGTATTCAACACCTGGATCACCTGACTGTAACCCTCGGGTGTTCGCTGCTCCGGTGCAATCCAGGGCAGAACAATAAACTGATAACCCACGGTTTCTGCAACCTCGAGAATCGCTTCTGGAGATTCAACCATCAGGTTGAAAGGTACGTGGGCTGCCGGTGCTGACAAGCCGGTGTTTCCGAGCGCTACTGCAAACTGTGCCGGACTCAAATTACCGGTGCCGGCAGTTTCAACCTCCACGTAACCGGCTTGCGCAACCGCAGCTAACGTTGCCGCAACATCTTTGGCCATAAGATCGCGAACGGTGTAAAGCTGCAAACCTATTCGTTGCAGACGACGTTTCTCCAGCGCGCGCAGCGAAGGCGCAAGGAGCGCGCCGGCCGTAAGTCCCAGACTTTTCAGATGTGTACGTCGAGTCAGTCTCATGTGGATTCTCCCGCAGAGTGAACATTTGGGGTCGCTTGCGTGGTCGTGTCCTCACGAAAAACCATCGCAAAAATGATGGCTATCACACCGGCAAATGCACAGGGCACCAGCCAGATCGTCTGCCAGTCATGGCCACCGGACACAACATAACTTTCAACCACCTGCCCCGCGATATAGGTACCAATAGCCATGCCCGCACCGTAGGTGAGCAGGGTGATAAAACCCTGTGCGCTGGCACGTATTTCCTCGGACGCACGTTGATCAATGTAGATCTGCCCGGTAACAAAAAAGAAGTCGTAACAGACACCGTGTAATAAGATACCCAGGTACAAAAAGCCAACCAGGTCGATGGATCCGAAGGCAAACACACCGTACCGCAACACCCAGGCTAACATGCCGACCAACAACATCCACTTCACCCCAAGACGTCGGAAGAAAAACGGCATAGCCAGCAGAAACAGCGCTTCGGACACCTGCCCCAGGGTCATCTTGGCAGCCACCCCCTGCATCCCGACTTCATTGAGAAACAGATTGGCGAAGCTGTAATAAAAGGCCAGAGGGATACAGATCAGCAGAGAACTTGCCGCAAAAACAGCAAAAGAGCGTTCTTTCAGAAGAGACAGCGCTTCCAGCCCCAGCACCCGACCCATGGTCACATGTCTGCCACGGCTCGCCGGCGGTGTGTTAGGCAACGTGAAACAGTACAGGCCCAGGATAGCGGAACAGGCAGCGGCCATACTCATCGGCAAAGAGGTCGCTTCCACGTTTCCGCCACCACTGGCCAGCACATAGGTAATCGACAGACCGGCAACAATCCAGCCGATTGTGCCCCAGACCCTGACCTTCGGGAACTGCAGATCAGGCGATTGCATCTGCGCAAAACCAATACTGTTAGCTAACGCCAGGGTAGACATATAGCAGGCGTTGTAGACGAGCAACCAGAGAATAATGTCCCCTGCCTGGGTCAACGTGGTGACATGGTAAAGTACCGCTGCGCCTAGCAGATGCAGGACCCCAATGACCTTTTCCGAATCAAAAAAACGGTCCGCCACCATGCCTACAAATATCGGCGCGATGATGGCGCCGATATTGTTCGTCAGATAAGCGGTACCAATGTCCGAGCCGGAAAAGCCAAGCGCGTTGAGATAGGTGCCCAGAGTCACAAACCACGCCCCCCAGACAAAAAACTGCAGAAACATCAGAAGACTCAGACGGCTGTAGATAGAGGGTGTCATGGTGGGCAAGACTCTGCGGCGGCGACAGCTTCGAGAATACACCATGACTGAGATAGCGGCTAACCAGCTTTCTGATTGGGTGTATGGTGATAGCTTGCTATACTCACCTGCCGTTTTCAGTCGTGACAACTCAAGGTAGAACAGTGAGCTCAGCCAACACCCCCTCATCTACGCCGACACCTGAAGAGCTCGGCTTTGATCCAGATGCGTTACGTGAAAAATATCGCATAGAACGCGACAAACGCCTGCGGCCAGATGGCAACAATCAATACACCGACGTTGTTGGCGACTTTACCCACTACGTGGACGACCCCTACGTTGATACACCCATCGAGCGCGAACCGCTGACCGACGAGATGGACGTCATCATCATCGGCGGTGGCTTTGGCGGCCTGATTACCGGTGCACGCCTGCGAGAGGCAGGCATTAAAAACATCCGCATCATCGAAAAAGGCGGCGATTTTGGCGGCACCTGGTACTGGAATCGTTACCCTGGCGCCGCTTGTGACGTCGAGTCGTATATCTATCTACCGCTGTGTGAAGAACTCAATTTTGTACCCAAAGAAAAGTACACCCACGCCCCGGAAATATTGCAGCACAGCCACAATATCGGCAAAAAATACCGCCTCTATGATGACGCCTGTTTCCAGACCGAAGTCACTGCCCTGAACTGGGATGAGTCCAGCGCCCGCTGGATCGTACATACCAACCGTGGTGATGCCATGCAGGCCCGCTTTGTCGCCATGTCTAACGGTCCACTTAACCGACCTAAGCTGCCAGGCATAGCCGGTATCAGCGAATACCAGGGGCACACATTTCACACCAGCCGCTGGGACTACAATTACACGGGTGGCGGTCCAGAAGGTAACCTCGACAAACTGGCAGACAAACGCGTAGGCATCATCGGCACCGGCGCCACCGCGGTGCAATGTGTCCCGCACTTAGGTGCAGCGGCCAGAGAATTGTTCGTTTTCCAGCGTACGCCCTCGTCTATCGACGTACGCGACAATCGACCTACAGACCCTGAATGGGCAGCAAGCCTGAAGCCGGGCTGGCAGCAGGAACGTATGGAAAACTTCAACACCCTGACTTCAGGCGGCATTGTTGAAGAAGACCTGATTCAGGATGGATGGACCGAGATTATCCGCAACCTGATATCCATGGCCAACTACCGCGGCAAAGACATTCCCCGCGATGAGATCCCCAAACTCATGGAGTTGGCAGATTTCAAGAAGATGGAGCAGGTGCGCGCCCGCGCTGAAGCCATCGTGCAGGATCCGGACACTGCTGAAGCGCTTAAACCTTTTTACCGTCAGTTCTGCAAACGGCCTTGTTTCCACGACGAATACTTACCCACTTTCAATCGGGAGAACGTTCACCTCATTGACACCGACGGCAAAGGGGTTGAACGCCTCACCGCAACCGGAGTGATCGCCAATGGGAAGGAATACAAGGTTGATTGCGTGATCTTCGCCACTGGCTTTGAAGTCGGCACCGACTATACGCGTCGCGCGGGATACGACGTGACGGGCAGAGATGGCCTGACCCTCAGTGAAAAATGGCGTGACGGCATGCGCACCTTACATGGCCTGCACAGCCGCGGATTTCCAAATCTGTTTATCATCAGTAATGGTCAGGGTGCATTTACCACAAACTTCCCCCACGCCATGAACGAGTCCGCTAAACACATCAGCTATATTGTCGATCAATGTCTGACCGGAAACATCAGTTGCATCGAACCCAGCCAGGCGGCTGAAGATGCCTGGGTTGAGGAAATCATATCGCTGGCAAGATTCAGTGAATCGTTCCAGGCGTCCTGCACACCCGGCTACTACAACAACGAAGGCAAGCCCAATCCAAAAAGTGCGCAGAATGCCAGTTACGGCAAAGGCCCGAACCCCTTTTTCGCCAAGATGAAAGCCTGGCGGGAGGACGGCTCCATGCCCGGACTGGAGCTGAGTTGAACGTTGTGGACCACCGTTGTCGTTTGAACGCCGCATTCACGCGATACTCACTACAGCGGTGCTATATTGCTCAGTCTATGATCAAGAATTTTTCATGATGCGGCACAGATACATCACGACAACAATAGGGCTGGCTGTCGCCTTCATGCCCATCTGGGGCATGGCCGCAGCGCCCGGCGGCCCGCCACCCCCAACCGCCGTCATTGTCGAGAACGTGGCCACCCAAACCATCGCAGACACGCTCGAAGCACTGGGTACATTGCGGGCCAACGAAACCGTCGAAATTACTGCAAAAGTGGCAGACACCATCTCTGCCATTCGCTTTTCTGACGGTGAAGCAGTCTCCGCCGGCGATGTACTGGTTGAACAGACTGATGCAGAAGAGGCTGCATTGCTGGAGGAAGCCGAATCCCTGGCAGAAGAAGCCAAACGCCAGTTCGAGCGCATCGAAAGCCTGGTTGCAAAAGGTAGCGCTTCAGAATCGCTGCTGGATGAGCGTCGGCAAACCTGGCGCACGGCAAGCGCGCGAGAAAGTGCAGTTCGCTCGCGCCTGAAAGATCGCCTGATCACCGCCCCATTCAGTGGGCATGTGGGTTTGCGCCTCGTCAGTCCTGGCGCCCTGGTTTCACCCGGCGATGTGATCACTACGCTGGTCGATGACTCCAGCATGAAACTCGACTTCACCATTCCGGCAATTTATATGGACACTGTGCGTGTCGGCACGGTCATTGATGCCACCACACCTGTTTACCCTCAGCGACGGTTCAACGGCAAAGTCAGCTCCGTCGACAGCACCGTTGATCCGGTGACACGCTCAATCACCATCAGAGCCGTGCTGCCTAATGAGGACCATGCTCTGGTACCCGGCATGTTGATGACACTTGAACTGCGTCGCAATCCGCGCAGTGCCATTGTTATATCCGAGGAGACCATCATCCCTCGTGCTGGCGAAACTCACGTGCTGGTTGTTGACGAGACCGTCAGTCCGCCGGTTGCCCAGCAGCGCAGCGTGGTCTTAGGACGTCGATTGGCGGGCAAAGTGGAAGTGCGTAGCGGTCTGCAGGTAGGTGAAACCATTATTTCTCATGGCACTCTGAAGGTCAGACCCGGTTCGCCTGTACGTATTCAGGCCGTGGACGACAACACCCGCTCCATTGCTGACATGATTCGCGGCGAGCCTGCTAACAGCGGATGATCATTTCCGATATCTCCGTTCGCCGGCCGGTTTTTGCTGCCGTCATTTCGCTGATCCTTATTGCTTTTGGCCTGATCGCCTTCGATCGCCTGCCCCTTCGCGAGTATCCGGACATTGATCCACCTATTGTCGGTATCGAGACGGTTTATCGCGGCGCTGCTGCATCGGTTGTAGAAAGCCGAATCACTGAGCAGATTGAAGAACGCATTGCCGGCGTTGAAGGCATTGAGTTTATCGAGTCCTCCAGCCAGGACGGCCGCAGCAACATTACCGTCCAGTTCAGCGTCGGGCGCAATGTCGATGACGCAGCCAACGACATTCGAGACCGCGTATCCAGCGCCCTGGGTAGCCTGCCCGTAGAGGCAGAACCACCTGAAGTGCGCAAAGTAGACTCTAACCAATCGGTAATCATGTGGATCAACCTCGTCAGTGATCGCCTCACCGTACCCGAACTCACAGATTTTGCTGAACGTAACCTGGTCGACAGATTTTCCGTTCTGGACGGCGTGGCCCGCGTGTTTGTCGGTGGCGCACAGCGCTACGCAATGCGTATCTGGCTTGATCGTCAACAGCTTGCCGCGCGCAATCTGACCGTTGCCGACGTCGAGAATGCACTGCGCGCAAGTAATGTGGAACTCCCAGCAGGAGAAGTTGAATCCGAAGAACGCCGTTTCACCGTGCGAGTGGAACGCGCCTTTGAAGATGCTGACGACTTCAGACAGCTGGTACTGGGTGAGAGCAGCGATGGCTATCTGGTTCGCCTTGGTGATGTCGCCCGGGTTGAACGAGGCACGGAACAGGATCGTACGCTGTTCCGCGGTAACGGCATTCCCCAGGTTGGGCTTGGCGTCGTGCGTCAGTCCAACGCGAATCTGCTGGATGTTGCTCGCGCCGCCAAACGCGAGATGGCGTTGTTAGGACCAGGCCTGCCGGAAGGCATGGCATTCAAGCAAAGCTATGACTCGTCTATTTTTGTTGAAGGCGCCGTTAACGAAGTCTACAAAACCCTCGGAATTGCCGTATTCCTTGTGGTGCTAACCATCTACCTGTTCCTGGGCAGCGTTCGCGCCATGCTGGTACCTGCGCTGACCGTGCCTGTATCCATCATCGCCACCTGTATCGCCTTATACACGCTGGATTTTTCCATCAACCTGCTGACGCTGCTGGCCCTGGTGCTGGCGATCGGCCTGGTGGTCGATGACGCCATTGTCATGCTGGAAAATATTCACCGCAGAATAGATCAGTTAGGCGAACCGCCGATAGTGGCGGCTTATCGTGGTGCCCGCCAGGTTGGCTTTGCGATTGTTGCGACAACGGCTGTACTGCTTGCCGTATTTGTCCCCATCGCTTTTCTCGAAGGTGACATCGGCCGGCTGTTTTCAGAATTTGCGCTGACGATGGCTGCCGCAGTGGTTTTCTCATCGCTGGTCGCACTGACCCTGGCGCCGGCGCTGGCCTCCAAAGTGCTGCGATCCAGCGAAAGCGAAAACTGGCTGACGCGACGTATCGACCACAACTTCACCGTCGTCAACCGCATCTATCGACGCGCGCTAGGCTATGTCTTAAAACACCCCGTGCTGCCGATGGTTGTTCTCGCCGGGTTAATCGCCAGTAGCGTGTGGTTGGTGAAAGTGCTGCCGGAAGAATATACCCCCGACGAAGACCGAGGCAGTTTCTTCACGTTTGTACGCGGCCCAGAAGGCGCTACATTCGAGTATATGAAACCCTACGTTGATGAGATAGAACGTCGCCTCATGCCTTATGTCGAAACCGGTGAAGTGCGCCGTGTGCTGGTGCGCACACCTGGTGGATTTGGTGCTATTCCAACCTTCAACACCGGCGCTGTCATCATTGTCCTCAGTGACTTCGGCCAACGTCGTCCAGGCAAAGTGATCATGGACGAGGTTCGCGCCAAACTGATGGACTTACCGGGCGTCTTTGCCTTCCCTGTCATGCGCCAGGGATTCCGTTCCAGCGCAGATAAACCACTACAGTTTGTCATAGGTGGCGGCGAGTACGAACAGCTGCGGGCATGGCGGGACGTGCTGATTGAAGAAATCAACGCCAACAACCCGGGGCTGGTGGGTCTGGACTGGGACTACAAAGAAACCCAACCTCAGCTGCGTGTGCGCATCGATTACAACCGCTCAGCAGACCTCGGCGTGCCCATTGTAGATATCGGCAGAACCCTGGAAACACTGCTTGGGTCGCGCAGGGTCACCACATATATGCAAAATGGCGAAGAGTACGAAGTCATTCTTGAAGGCGAGCGCGACACGCAACAGACCCCCGCGGCGATGGAAAATATCTACGTTCGCTCGACAACCACCAATCAGCTCATACCTCTGGCTAACCTTGTCACGATTGAAGAATATGCGGATTCGAACAGACTCAACCGATACAACCGGGTACGCGCGATTACCTTGGAGGCGAACCTTGCGCCTGGGCTTGCGTTAAACGAAGCCGTCGAATATCTGACCACTCTGGTGAGAGAGAAGCTACCCGAAGGGGTGGTGATCGACTACAAAGGCCAGACGCGTGACCTGCAGGAATCGGAGTCGTCCATCGTATTTGTCATGCTGTTGGGTCTTGCTGTGGTTTTCCTTGCACTGGCGGCCCAGTTTGAAAGTTTCAGACACCCTCTGACCATCATGCTCACGGTGCCGATTGCCATTACCGGTGGCCTTCTGGGACTATGGTTAACCGGCATGACCATCAACATCTACAGCCAGATTGGCCTGGTTATGCTGATTGGTCTGGCTGCAAAAAATGGCATTCTGATTGTTGAGTTCGCCAATCAGTTGCGCGATGAAGGGGTCGAGTTTATCGAAGCCCTGATCAGCGCATGTGAAGTGCGCCTGCGCCCCATCGTGATGACCACAATTACAACCGCAGCGGGCACCCTGCCCCTGATATTCGGCAGCGGACCAGGCGCCGAAACCCGTGAAGTCATTGGTATTGTTGTATTCAGCGGCGTAACCGTCGCAACGTTATTCACGCTGTTTATTGTGCCGGTCATGTACAAACTCATTTCAGGTGAAAGCGCATCCCCACTGGCAACCAGCCGCGAACTGGATACTGCACTGGAGGAAAACCCGGACACCGATCAGTTGCTCGACACAAATCGAGTTTAGAAACAGTTTTTCATGAAGATGTTTCTTTGCGGGCATCGGTTATTCTACAGTCCGCTTGAGTAGCGCCTTCCAAACCATCGAGAGACCGGCATGCGAATCTTCCATAGACAAAAAATGACAATCTTCATCCTATTGTCGCTGATCACAGTATCTACCCATGCTGCAGACTTCCGCAGCGCCGATTGGGGTATGACCATGACTGAGGTCAAAAACCTGCATCAGGGTGAAATCCCTGCGAACCAGCGCAAGGCTATGGTCAATTACGAAGGCAAACTCGCAGGATTGGACGTACTCATTTTTTATCGTTTTGATGAATTAGGCGGGTTGTATCAGGCAGGTTATGAAGCAAACGCAGCACACAGCGACACCAACATATACGTGGCTGAATATAACCATCTGAACAAACTGTTAAGAAAACGCTACCCCGAGTCCGGGGAACCGCTGCAGATCTGGAGCAATAGATTATTCGAAAACAAGCCGGACAACTGGGGGCGAGCAGTCGCATCAGGGCACCTGACGTACCAATGGTCCTATGAAACGGGAAAAAATCGTATTACCCACGAACTGCGCAATGATAAACGCCGGCGTATCATCCACATTCTGCGCTACGAAGCCATTGCTGACACCGCCGAAACTGACATCCTCGACGAACTGTAACCGCTCAGTCGCTCAAGCCCGGCCCGTCTAATGCACCCAGGGTCTTAGCACGTCGATCCCGGTGTCGCTCCGCCAGCATACGCATATCGGTTGTTGTATCCGTCTCATCGACAATTTCAAACCCCAACAATGTTTCAATGACATCTTCCAGGGTCACAATGCCCGCCATGCCACCAAAATCATCCAACACTACGGCAATGTGCTCCTGGCGTTCGCGCAGCGTACTGAATAGATCCGTAATGGCATAGGTCTCGCCAACAGCAATGATCTCGCGCCGCAGCGAAGCCAGCGGTTCATCCCCTTGGCCATCTATCAAGGCAGTCAATACGTCCGCCTTGAGGATATAGCCGGTGATGTGATCTTTGGAGATGTTGTAAATCGGGATGCGAGAAAAACGCTGACGTTTGCCCAACGTATGAAAACTGGCAATGGCATCGCTTTCAGCTGCCGCTGCAACCACCGTGCGCGGGGTCATCACATCACGTACCTGCACGGTTTGAAAACGGATCATGTTGCCAATCATCTGACTTTCTTCTTCTTCGAAGACACCTTCCTGTGCGCCAATTTCAGCCATGGCCAGGAAGTCTGTGCGCGTTAATACCGGCTGATTGTTACCGTGTTTGAGTAACCGGGTGAGGTACTGGCTCATCCATACCAGCGGTGCCAGCGCAACGATCAGGAACCTCAGGCTATGCACAGTGAACGTCACCAGACGTTGCCAATAAAGTGCGCCGATCGTTTTTGGCACAATCTCTGACAACACCAGAATCGCAATCGTCATCAATGCCGGCACACCGAACAGCGTTATCCAGGGATTTGCATCGGCCCATATGGCTGCAGCCTGCTGGCCAACGCCTATCGCACCTACTGTGTGAGCAATCGTATTGAGGGTCAGAATGGCTGACAGCGGGCGGTCAATATTGGCTTTAAAATCTTCCAGATAACGCCCGACCAGGGTGCCTTCCTGAAACTGCATACGCGCATACGTCGGCGTGGTGGAGAGCAGCACTGCCTCCCACATAGAGCAGAGAAACGAAAAAATGAGTGCCAGCAGGAAAAAAGTGACTAGCAGTGTATACATATCGTTGCGCGGGGTGTCCGATGGCGTTGTTGTGTTTGCACAAAGACAGCATACCTCAGTTGGAGGAACAACCAAGCCTCTGCCTGTCTGACTGAACCCTTCGGTTTTATCGAATCATCACTGTTCAAGCGGGGGTTATCTAAGGTTCTCCCGGTAGGGGGTCATATCCATCCCAAAAGGACGGTAACGGGCTTCTACCGCGGCGATTGTTGCTTCACTCCAATAGCTGGACCCGGGTTGGGGGAAACCCAGCACCGCCCGCTGTGCAAGGCTGGCATTGGCAATCAGGCGCTCCAGATATTTACTCTTACGATATGCAGACCACGCCCAGCCCACATGAAGGGTGCTTATCCATTCACATTCCGCCCGCCGATAGGTAATGTTGTGCACCAGTCGCAGCGTGTCCGGCAACATGGGTGTTCCCCGGTGCCAGGTATCGTGCCGATAGAAAAGTACGTCGCCTGCTTTGAAGCGGGTATATTTTTCGCGCGCATAAAGCGATGCCCGCCATTGAGCCAATCCTGGACGCTGCTGAGAAAAATACGCCTCAGCGGCTGTACGATCGTTCACATAATCCAGCTCGCCTATGCCCGGCGAATCCACAATGGGCCAACGATAAGCAGGGTCTGCATCGCCCTGGCGCGGCACCACAGCGGTTGCCCCGCCGCAGGTCTCCACGTCATTGAGATACACAATCATCTCTACCGCTTCCGGGCGTCTCCACTCGGTTGGATGGGCCAGGGTATGGTTTGGATAATCGATATGAATGCGCTGATCCATGTTGTCCAGTGGCCCCGCTGACTTTTCAGTTCTGCCATATTTCGGCCAGAGATCAGATTGACTGAGTCGCAGTGATTCTACCGGCGCCTGCAACAACGCTGACACGCAGGTCAGCAAGCGCGGAGCAAGCGTGATTTCATTGAACCCAGGAAGGGTGCTGGGGAAACACAGCTCGCTGCCAAAGTCAGAGACGCCCTGGGCCGCTGCACTGCCTGGGGCAGGGAACCGTTCGGTTGCGGCCTCGCGCAGGGTCTCGATCAACGAATCAGGAAACACGCCTCTTACAAGTGCAAAACCCTGATGCTGCCAGGCGCTAACCTGTGCAGCGGATAGCACCTCATGTTCATTGTCTGCAGGTGCGCTCTCAGCTGGGGTAGCCTCGACCCACCGATCTGAATTGTCTGCACCTCTCACCATGCTACTCCCTCCCAATGTTTACCGAGATGATGACCGGTTACGGTTCTATAAACTTGCTCAAAACTTGCATACCCTGGCCATTGAGGCAGACTAAACTCATGCCCCCACTGCCCCCTTGAGGTGATCTTATGAAACTCTACACCGGTGACCTGAGTCCTTACTCGGCGAAAGTGCGTATGCAGATCTACGCAATGGGTATCAGCGACATTGAATTCGAGCTGCCGGCGTCATTCTACCTTGGCAAACTGGCAGAAATATCCCCCCTCGGCCGCATTCCGGTGCTCGAAGTAGACAATGGCATTATTCCTGAATCTGAGGTGATCGCTGAATATCTGGACGATCTCTATCCGCAAAAATCGATGACTGGCGATACCCCGCGCCAGCGCGCCAACGTCCGATTGCTATCGCGTATTGCCGATATTTATCTGATGAACAACATTTTTATGGCGCTACCACAGATTCCAAGAGGCAACCGTGTCGACGCGATTCGTGACCTCTTCGCTGCACAGATAACACGCGGCATGGGCGCGTTGGAGCGACACCTGGCCGACGATGAGTTTGCCGCTGGGCCTGAGCTCACCAGAGCCGACTGCAGCCTGGTACCGGCGTTGTGGTTGTGCGAGAACACCGTACCGAGACTCGATGTGCCTAACCCAATTGCCAGTACTGAACGGGTGGCCAGCTACTGGGCAAAAATTCGCACCAACGAACACGCCTCAAGGGTTCTGGCGGAAATGGATCGGGGTATGCAGGCGCGCCTCGACGGTACCGAACGCAAGATGATTGAAGAAGCGCGAGCTAAACTTTAGTCTCAAGCCATGACCGTTTAACGAAACAGCCCTTTCAACAGCCTGGGTGACCGCACAAAACCAATGGCAGCAGCAACTCGCAAAGCCTGGCCTAACGGATACGGTAACGTGTGCAATCCACCATGAACACGCACCTGACCGACAGAGGGGGCATCCGGATTCATCCAGTCATGTACCGCAAGCAACCCATTCAGGCAACGGGACTGGCGTGGCGTCATGGTTTCCACACCTAAGGCAGCTGCGCCACCAAACGCCGCGGCAAACACCGGATGATCAAGCGATCGTGTACGGGTAATCGCCGCTGTATTAGCTGAAACACGCAGTGGCTGTGGATCTGCAGCGGACAGTTGACCGAAGGTAGACCAGCTCTGTGCCATTAGAACTTTGCCGAGATACTGAGCTGCCTGGTAGCTGGCACCTTGTATGGTTACCACGGTACGGGTGGCGGCGGCCTCTCCGACCACCACGCTGCCACCGCCGGATCCCAGCAGACCTGCCCGTGCGAGCAGTGCTTCCCATGTAGGCCGAGACGCAACACGTGCTTTTGTTGCTGCGAGATCCTGCACACTTAACGCCGTGGGCGTTGTTGGAGACACAAGCATAGTCACACTGGCAACCCGTTCTGCTGGCAACGCATCAACCAGGGCGTTCATGCAGGCGGTCAGACGTATTTCGCGCGCTTTGCCCGGCGCGTATGCGTACAACCCCAGATCAAGCGGGCTGCCATCCGCGAATTCAAGCAAGGTGGCCAGCACTGCCTGGGGTTCGGTCAGCAGGTCGACGTTGTCTGTTGCCCAGAATACGCTTCCGGACAATGCCGGCTGCGTCTGCCACTCTTGCGGCGGAGGTTTTGTGTCCAACCAAAGTACGTCTGCGCCGGCCTCAAGCCATAAACGGGTTGGCGCCATTTCCGCGCCACCGCCGAGAACGGCAATTTTGCGCCCGGACAAATCCAGTTTGCCGTCAACCAGTGCTTCTTCTGCCAACCAGGTCAGAGCAGACGCGGCAGCCGCTGAAATCACATTCCGACTGACCAGTAATTTACCCAGTTGAGCCAACTGCGCACCCTGCCAACGCTCGCCCTGATACACAAAGTTCGGCTGCCAGCCAGGTTCTCCGCTGAAGACGAGCTTGCTCAGCGGCAGCGGCGCCACAGGTTGACCCAGGACATCATGCAACGGACAGGCGGCTTCACCGTCATCCCAGATAATGTAATCCCGCAGTTTGCGTACCATGTGCACTGCAATCGCCGAAGCTTGGGAACTGGCTAACCGTTGCGCTTCGAACCTGGGTAACACGTCCGCATAGCTTTTACGGAATACCTCTAGAGCTGACGGCACACCTGCTGCATCTAACACGCCAGGAAAGGCAGTGACCGCATCACAAACCACTTCGTGCAGGATGGTTAGCGCACTGAGATTCTGTGCAAGCAGAATTTCACCCGACTTATTGATATCAGCCATGGACATTTACCGCAGGTTGTGGGATTCGGCGTGCTTCGACTTTCCGTTTACCACCCAGCAATAGGTAGAATGTAGGCAATACAAACAAGGTGAACAACGTGCCCACCACCATACCTGCAGCAATCATTAAGCCAATAGAAAATCGGGAGTTTGCACCTGCGCCAAACGCCAGCAACAGCGGCACAACGCCAAGCACGGTGGCAAAGGTTGTCATGAGAATCGGTCGCAGCCGCAGAGCAGCAGCTTCCAGCACAGCGGATCGACGGTCCAGACCGTCGGCTAATTTGTTGTTGGCAAAGTCCACAATCAATATGCCGTGTTTACTGATCAGGCCTATAAGCGTTAATAAACCCACCTGAGTATAGATATTCAACGTTGCCCACCCCAGCGCCAGAGGCACAATCGCGCCGAAAATAGACAGCGGCACGCTGATCAGAACAATGAAGGGGTCGCGAAAACTATTGAACTGAGCTGACAGAACCAGATAAATAAACACCAGAGATGTGGCAAACAGCAGTAAAAAGCCCTGACTCTCTTCGATGAAACGTCTCGATTCACCCTGATAGCCTACCCGATAACCTGTTGGCGCCACTTCCTTCAGCGCCTCTTCAAGAAATGTTAAACCTGTTCCGAGCGTATTCGGCGGCAGCACCAGCCCCTGCAGGGTGACGCTGTTCAACTGCTGGTACTGCCTGAGCGTACTCGGTTCAACGTTCTGCTGTAGTGAAATCACCGTACTCAATGGTACCAGCGAGCCTTTTTCTGTGCGCAGGTAATAACGTTCCAACCATTCTTTGCTGAGTCGAAAACCGCGATCCGCCTGAGGAATGACTTTATAACTGCGACCTTCCATACTGAAGCGGTTAGTTTCCGCTTCGCCCAGCATGATCTGCAGCGTTTCGCCTATTTTCGCCATGGATATTCCCAGCCTGGCAGCCAGTTCGCGATCAATGCGCACGCTGATTTCGGGTCGGGAATAGCGCAGGTCTTTACTCACGAAAGCGAACAGACCCGACTGTCTCGCTTTGCCTAACACTTCTTCTGCCACGCGATCCAGCTCGCGATAATCCACGTTAGCGGATATGACAAACTGCAGCGGCAAGCCAGACGAAGCGCCGGGCAGACCACCTGCAGCAAAGGTAAATATTTCCAGACCGCTGATACCGTTGTACTTCCGCTGTACCTCAACGCGGATTTCTTCCAGCGTGCGTTGACGTTCATCCCAGGGCTTCAACTCAATGCCGCCAAACACAGAGTTTGGTTGATTCACCTGCCAAGAATGACTGACTTCCGGCACCGAACGCCACGCCTCAACCATCTGATCCAGAAACAGCGTGGTGTACTCAAGGCTACCGTAGTCTGGAGGTGTTGCTATGGCAAAAATACTGCCGCTGTCTTCATCCGGCGCCAGTTCTTTCTGGGCCAACTGATAAAATATCGGCAGGCTGACAAAAATACCCACAGCAAAGAGCATCACCGCACCGCGATTATCCAGACAGTGGCCAAGCGCGTTGGCATAGCGCCCATGCAATCTGTTGAACTGCTTGTCCAGCCACAGTGCAGCCTTACCCTGATGTTGATGATCTTTGAGTAAGTAGGCACACATCATCGGCGTTAATATCAGGGCAATGATGCCGGATATCATGACCGCACCTGCGAGGGTCAGCGCAAACTCGCTGAACAACACACCGGTCAAACCACCGAGAAAACCAATCGGCAGATACACGGCCACCAGGGTCAGGGTCATTGCAACTACAGGTAACGCCACCTGCCTGGCACCCAGCAGCGCTGCATCCATGGGCGTCTTACCCTCTTCGATGTGTCGATGCACGTTTTCAACCACCACAATGGCGTCATCCACCACCAACCCAATGGCGATGACCATGGCTAACAGCGTCAGCAGGTTGATTGAGAAACCCATCAGCCAGATCAGGAACAGCACGCTCACTAATGAAAGCGGTATGGCCACAATGGGAATGGCCACAACACGCAATGAACCCAGGAATAACAGAATAACCAACACGACAATGATGGTGGCTTCTATGAGAGTCTGCTGCACTTCGTTGAGCGCTTCACCGATGTAGATGGACAGATCTGAATCGAGAAAAATAGTCATGTCCGCAGGCAACTGCGCATCCAGCGTTTTTATCTGTGCCTTGACCCGTTCAGCCATCTGCAAAGGGTTCGCGCCAGGCGCTTCAGTGATGGCAATAAAAACCGTTTCCTGGCCGCTCGAATAAACCTGCGACTCATAGGTCTCGCTGGCCAGCTCAATATTGGCAACATCACCCAGGCGCACCCGTTGCTCACCCTCCTGACGCACTACAATCGCCGCAAAGTGGGATGGATCCTGGACGTCTGTCTGCGCATCCACGCTGGCGCGCACATATTCACCGCGGGTTGTACCCGCTGCAGAAATAAAATTGTCTCTGCGTATGGCGTCGTTGACATCTGTTGCGGTAACGCCGTAAGCGGCCATTCTGGCTGGATTCAACCAGACACGCATGGCAAACATACCGCTACCCAGCAGGCGAGCCTCACCCACGCCCTCAACGGTACTGAGAACGGGTTGAATGGTTCGCGCAGCGTAATCGGCCATTTGCTGCACCGACATCTGTTTACTGAGCAAAGCCAGATACATCATGGCATCACCGCCAGTGCGGTTGCTCACAACCGGGTCTTCGACCTCACGAGGCAGCTCAAAGCGGGCTTCGTTAACCTTTGTGATAACCTCACCCAACACATCAGTTGAGTTCTCCCCGAGGCGCACCCAGACTTCAATTTCAGCAACACCGGGATCGCTTTGCGACGTCACATATTCAACCCCTTTGGCGGCGGCGATGCGACGCTGTAACGGTGTAGTGACAAACCCTTGAACAGTTTCCGCGCTGGCGCCGGGAAATACCGCACGCACATAAATCACGCTTTTTTCAACTTCAGGGTATTCCCGCAGGGTCAACTGGGTTGCTGCCTGCAGACCCAGCAGCAGCATAACCGCACTTAGAACCAGGGCGAGCACCGGACGGCGGATGAAGATGTCCGTAAATTCAGGCATTAGAGGTTCAAGTCTTCGTCGACCACCACTCGCACGCCTCGATAAAGCTTGTTCTGGCCAACGCTGACCACTTTTTCGCCGGCCTGCAGGCCCTCAAGTACAGCTACCCGGCCCTCACGGACAGGTCCGCCAACCACCACCCTAGCCGTGGCCGTTAAACCATCACCTTCGGCCTCTTCAATGACCCAGACTGTGTTGCCGCGCAGGGAATAAGTCATGGCCGTTTCAGGAATGGTCACGAGCTGTTGCTGATCACCGAGATCAACTTCGAGTATCGCAAACATGCCTGGCAGCAAACCCTCCACCTCGTCCAGCTTTGCGCGCAATAAAACGTTGCGCGTGTTCGGATCAACCCGCGCATCCACAGCGGCAACTGTGGCCGTGAATTTTCTTTCAGGATAAGCATCCACCGAAACCTTGACGCTTAACCCCGCTTGGAGCTTTGGCGAAAAACGAGCGGGAACGGTGAAATCGATCTCCAGTTCGCTGCGATCCTGCAGGGTCGCAATAACCGTGCCGGGCGAGAGATAGTCACCAACATCTACACGACGAATACCTATAGTGCCGGCAAAAGGAGCAGCTATGGTTTTGTTCGCCAGCCTGGCTTCTGTTTCAAGTAATTGTGCTCTGGCGCGCTGCAGGTCAGCACGGGAACTATCATATTGAGATTGGGGAATCGACTTCTGCTGGATCAACGCACTGTCCCGATCGAATAACAGCGACGCAAGCTCTACGTTAGCAATCTGATTTGCCCGGCTGGCTTGTTCGACCTCGTCGTTCAACACAACCAGGCGCTGACCTGCGGCAACAGCATCACCTGAATCGAACAGTATCTGAGTGATTTCGCCGCTGGCCTCGGAGGTCAGCTCGACACCACGCACGGCTTGAATAGTGCCTACCGCACTGAGCGTGCGATCCCAGATTTCCTGCTGCGCCAGTGACGCAGCTATGGTCACCGGTGGCGGCGAAAAATCCATATCCGCAAACGTACTGAAACGCTGGTACAGATAGCCACCAATGCTGCCGAATATCACCAGCAGCAAAATAATGGCAACCAGATAGGCTCTCAAAATCAGCTCATTCGATGCAGAGCACAGAGTTTATTGCCTGCAGGATCGCGCAGATAGGCAAGATACAACTTGCCGGCACCACCGTCTCTTATACCCGGCGGGTCTTCGCAGGCCGTGCCGCCGTTAGCAAGCCCAGCTGCATGCCACTCGTTCGCCTGCTCAGGATTGCTGGCCAGAAAGCCTATTGTGCTGCCATTACCATGGGAGGCTGGTTCACCGTTTATCGGCGGCGTGATGGCAAACACACCAGTAGGTGTCCGATAAAAGCAGCGACCGTGAGGGTCAATGCTGCCGGGTTCAATACCTAACGCACCCAGCGCGGCATCATAAAACTTCTTCGAGGCTTCGACGTTATCCGCGCCTACCATTATATGACTGAACATGACTCTTCCTATTAAAGTACGGCGCACAGACTAACGTAAAAACGCACTCTCGCGGTACTTTAGAAAACGAGTTTAACCGGGTTTAAGATTCACGATGGAGCTGCCAGCTTCGTTTTCCAGCAGCAGGTAGACAAGGCCATCATAACCCACCTCCACATCACGAATTCTGGCCAGATCTTTGATGAGCGTCTCCCGATGTACCAGCGTACGCCCATCAAATTCCATGCGGAACAGCGAACTACCTTTCAGAGAGCCGATCAATACGTTGTTGCGCCAGTTGGGAAATTGATCACCGGTGTAGAAGGCAAAGCTCGATATCGCCGGTGATGGAGTGATATCAACCAGGCTGTATTCGGCGGAGTTTTCGTCAAACTCGATAGCTTTGGGTTTGTGTCGCGCCACGACGCTACCGGAATATTCGAGCCCGCCGGACACATACGGCCACCCATAGTTGCGCCCGGGTAGCAGTTCATTAAGCTCATCACCACCCCGCGGCCCCATTTCTGAATCCCAGACCGTGCCGCGCTCCGGATGCCACTCCAGACCCTGAGGACTGCGGTGCCCGTAACTCCATATCGCAGGAGTAACGGCACTTGCAGCAACGCTGCCTTCCTGAGTCGAGACAAAATACGGATTATCCAGTGGAATAGTACCGTCATCCTGCAAACGCAGTATTTTGCCGTACGGCAGGCTTAAATCCTGCGGCGTCGTGTCATTGGTGCCATCAGCGGATTTGATGCCCAGCGAAATAAAGACATGACCTGAGTCATCAAAAGCTATGCGCCCACCGGCGCCGGTGTCTGGTGTTGGAGAATAAAACTCTACCGGCGCCTGCCAGATGGTCTGCACATCGACCCATTGCCCATCTCTTATACGACCACGGTCCAGACGGTTCATGGTCGCTGACAGCATAGAGGTACCGCATTCGTCGCCACAGATATGCGTGTAATGCAGATAGATCCAGCCGTTATCTTCGTACTGCGGATGTATGGCAACGTCCAGCAGCCAGCCCGAACCATACTGAATGCCCATGATATCTACTGAGCTGCCCATCTCCGGTGTGCCGACAATCAGATCTGACTGAACACCATCGGGTGACACTATCGATAAGCCGCGCTCTTTTTCTGTCAGCAGCATTGAACCATCCGGCAACGGCTCTATACTGAACACCATTGGGTCGAGGCCTTCCGCTACTGTATTGATTTGAAAGTTGTGCTTCTCGCTGATCTGCAGTTCTTGCGGAACCTCAACGTCCCGGTCAAAGCGGAAATCCGTGAAATGCTGACCCATACGGCGCTCACCTATATAGATTGCCAGCCCTTTCACCTGCACATCTGAAAGCACATCAGCAAATGCCGGATTGCCCAGTTCAAAATGTGCCTGTCGAATGCTGATCTGCAGTTCATCGACGCTGTCGCCGCGCTCAAGCGGACCACCAAGCAGCGCAACTCCGCGATGAGTGCCTTGCATCTGTTTGCCGTGGCAGCCAGCGCAGTTTTCAGTGTAAAGCGGCACGTATATGTCGAGTTCAACATAGTTCATGACATACCAGGCAACGCCTGCGCCACCCAGCACAAGAACCAGCAGTCCGATCAGTAGAATTTTCCACCAGGCCACGCGCGAGCTAGCCAGCGTTAGTTGAAAGAAACAGCAACATGACCTGTTCAACAAAAAGCGAGAACGAAGGTATGTAAAGCAGACTGAGCGACAAACCCGCGCTGAGGACTGCACAGAGAATCAGATAGTTTTTTGTTGTCATGATGAAGCTCCCCTTGGCGCCATTTGAAATATCCAGGTATCACCGTCGGCCACGGATCGTTCTATTTCGGCAATTGCCTCCGGCGTAGCTCCGCCGGCATATTTCTGCGCCAGTTTTGCTGCAACGCCGCTGATTTCCTGTGGGTCTTTAACCCGCACCAGCTGTCGTTCGTATCGCACGCCATTGATGCGTGCTACGGCCAGACCATTGCCCGCATCCGCCTGGAATGCCCACTCTTTCCACAACCGCCCCAGGAAGCTGCGCATATAGCCGGAAGGCACATAAACTTTGCCGTCACTCTCCATAACAAAAATGACGCGCGAAGCCAGCGGGTCTTCCAACTGCAGCTCTATGGTGGGTACATCGTCCGTAAAAGACCAATCGGGCTCAGGTCCGGAGTGCATTTCTCCGCTCACCAGCTTGCCGCCAGGGAACAGCACCGATGGCCCGTCCGCATCCTGGTTATCGATGCGCAAGGTTACGATGGTAACCAGCGGTATAAGTATCAGAATACCTATGACCTGCAAAACAATCCGGACCATGTTCACCCCTCAAGCACACAAAGATTTCGGAAGACATGCTACGCGCGGGGAAAGCTCGTGTCGATTCAGCAAAAAGGGCGCCACACAGGCGCCCTTTTCAATCTTGCAGCGATTTTTTTCTGCAATGCCTGCTCTAGAAACGGAAGGTAGCCTCCATCACTGTAGACCGACCAATACTGAGGTTATTGAACTGATTACCTGCCACGACGTAAGCGTGTTGGATTGTCATTTCATCTCCGAGGTTTCGACCAATAAGGGCCACTTCCCAGCGCTCATCATTCGCACTGACAGCCACCCGCGCATCGTACTTGGTGAACGAATCCTGAGTAGCGTATTGCGCCTGCGTGGGCTGCACAAAATAGTCGTCCGAATAGTAAATGGAGCCTGTCGCAGTCAGACGCATGGTGTCTGAGATCTGAGTCGTCCAGATTGCATTCAGGTTAAATTCCATATCGGGTGAGCGTTCGAGCTTCTCCCCTTTCTGATTTTCGGTACCACTGACAAGATCACAGTCTGCGTTTGCAGGCAAACCGTCAGAACCTTCAACACACTGCGCACCTGCAAAATCATCATAGGTTGCGTCTATCCAGGATAGAGAACTCTGCAGACGCAGGTTGTCCGTCGCCTGCCAGCTGAACTCCACTTCAAAGCCATCTACAGTTGCACTACCGGCGTTACCGATAATGAACTGCTCGCCATCGTAGTTTGACGTCTGCAGGTTGGTGAACTCAGTCGAGAACAGAGCGATCGCCAACGATGCGGAATTGTCGAACAGCGAGGTTTTCACACCCAGTTCCCAGCTTTCCGCCTCTTCATCTTCAAAGTCGAAAATACCGTTGCCCTGTTGAAAGGTGACGCCGTTGATCAGATCAGCTGGCGTAGCTGTGGGCATGCCAAGAAAACGTTGCGCATAATCCGGATCTGAACCAACACGTGAAAGAAGCTGCGCACCCAATGTCGCATCATTAGCCTTCATGCCACCAGCTTTGGAACCTTCGGCATAAGCCACGTACACCATCATGTCTTCATTGACGTCATACTGAACACGTACCGAAGGATCAACGCTGTCATCTGAACGGTCCTGGAAAAACAGGTATTCGGTATTGTGTCCAAAGGTACTCTGGGCGACCCGTTCAGGATTGAACGTACTGCCGGTGAACAGAATAGGCCAGGATGCGCCAACGCCTTCCTGCTCTTCATCGGTATAACGGATATCAAATATCGCACGCAGTCGATCAGTGATGTTCCAGGTCAACTGTCCATAAACCGAATAAGCATCACTTTCCCGGGCAAAGTTACGATCCATGCCTGAAGGCACATCAAGGATAGCGCCCTGCAGGAAGGGTGGCAGAGCGGCCTGCCAGAACAGCGGATAGAAGGGCGAGAATTGACGCGTTTCCAGATCTGACTGCTGATACCAGGCACCAACAATGTATTCAAAAGTTTGATTGGTTGGGCTCAAAACGCGAATTTCGGCCGTGCTCTGGTCGTACTCGTCCGCCAGATATGTGTTCAGAATAGCCTCAGGATGGCCATCAATTTCCAGGAACCATTCGTTATCATATTCCCAATAACCCAGAACGGCTTTCACCGAGTGATTGGCAACTTCGGTGTCCATCGTCAGCGTTGCAGAGGACCAGTCGTAATCGTAAAAGTCTTCTTCTTCAACACCTGTGCTGACACTCCTGATGTCATTGGCGCGATACTCTGCATTTGGGTCCGTCGTCACTCGAGTCATCGTCCCGGTACTGTTGACGAGTTGGTTGTTGCGCCCATCTGTAGACGATTCGCCAGCTTCGAGTTTAAGATAAAACTGAGTTGTATCGGTGGCATCCCACTCAAGGCCCAGTCTTGCCGCTCGCGTTTTCTTGTCACCATCGTCCTGGCCTAAGGCAAGGTTCTTTGTGTAGCCATCCAGATCATCCATACGCACCGCGAGACGGGCACGCAGTCTGTCTGTGAGTGCGCCAGAAAGATAACCGGTGCTTGTGTAGCCGCCGTTTTCCAGTTCCGCGCCCATTTTGATCTGCGCTTCGAATTCATCGGTGGGTCGCTGGCTGACGGTGTTGATGGCCCCGGCAATTGTGCTCTTACCAAACAACGCACCCTGTGGACCTCGAGCAACTTCTATCCGTTCCATATCGAGGAACGCAGACTCCAGGCACTTACCGCGGCCGCAGTACACGTCATCAATGTAAACTGGAACGGAGGAATCAAATGCTAAGTTGGTAATACCTGAACCCAAGCCGCGGATCCTTACCGACCAGCTACCAAACGTTTGTTGCACCTGCAGACCAGGCACAAAATTCTGTACATCGCTCATATCGCGAATATCAAACGTGTCAATAAATTCGCCGGTCACCACGCCCACAGATATCGGCACATCCTGCAAACTGGCTTCCCTTTTTGTTGCGGTCACCACAACTTCTTCGAGTACTGTCTGCCTTTCTTCAGCAACCACAACAGCACTACTTAAACAGCCTGCGGCTGTAAGTATCGCCGTCAGGCTAAAGTGACTAAGGCTGAATCTTTTCATTCTCATCTCCCCGTTAAAATACTTAACCATCTCTCTTCTCCATTTTTGCAAGTTTGTCTATTTACAGACAAGCCTGCCGACGCCTCCAAAACGCCGCTTCAACTCAAATTAGTAGACTGCCAGGCCACTAACTGAAATTGGTTTTCTACTTCCTGCCAGACCGATAGAAATCTGGCATTTAACAATTTTGTTTCGCCGTCACGTACCGCGCTGCCGCGCAGCACACCCTGGTGAATATAGTTTCCGCCGGCATGTAACACCCGATCCTGCGTCATCTCTAACGCTTTATATGCCACTGCCCCTTCTGCAAGTGCTTTAATCACCTCAGCTTTAGATTCGGTTTTACCCGATGAGTGCGTCCAGACTAAATCGTCAGACAGCAATTGCGCCAAAATATCGGTGTCAGCATTGATCATCGCCTGCCGGCGCTGACCATCAGCTTCTAATAATCGCTTGTGATCACTCACCGTCAGCTCCCGGCAAGTACCAGACTGGTGATGTCCAAGCACGCTCACGTATCCAACGATCCGCTTGTGGGAACTCATCACACCGTCCTTCACGCTCACACCGATACGCACTCCATCGGGGTGTGGGCACCTGCAGTACCCTTGCGTACCAGAACGCAGGTTCTTGAGCATTCAGATGCTCATCCTGCCATTGCACACAGATGTCAGCAGCGCCGTCTTTATTCTGCCAGACGTCTACAACCTCTTCGTGTAACTCGCCATTTTCAAGATAGCCTTTAATAATCTGCACAGTACCAACAGGTGAGTGATCAGCTTGCACCTGAATACGGAAAAACGCGTTGTCTACCTGATTGAGTACGCCGCCCATGGGTACCGAAGCCGCTTGCGCGTCGGTGGTGCAACTGAGTGATTCTGGTGCGGCATCAAGCCGGACGCGCAGACGCGGACCACTGGTGGCATACACTTCACGACGTTTCAGCGCGGCAAAAATGCTCTTACGCGTGTTTTCTTCTGCCCAAACGGCGACCAAGCCACCTGGATTCCAGTCCACTCGAACCATGGTGCGATCAAAGTCACCAAACCCGAATACGGTACCCGGCCAGGTTTCTTCATCAACAAAACCCCCGGTGCCTGAATGGTTATCGGTAGACCCTATAATGCCAAGTTGCAGAGGGTTCAACGCGCTCTCTCCAGAGCGCTGATAAGCGTACAATCCGCGCAGCAGCAGGCGCCGCACATAGCCACTTCGCATTTGCTCCCACTCCGCCTCAACATACCCGTCGGCGGCCGTCGGCACGGAGTTTTTTGTCAGGTACAATTCGAAATTACAGTCCTCGTCGGTTTGACCAAACCCGGACAGACATTCGCTGTTGCCTTTTTCCTGATGAATCTCAACCAGGCGCTCGTACCTCGCCCGCAAAGCTAATTCATCTGGAGACTCGGTTTCGACATCAAAGCTCTTGCCGTCACCCATATTTGTATTGTGGGGTATAGCGATGACGTCACACCCATTTTCCGGCAAACACTGCCGCTCCAGTTCCTGCCACAGCTTGTGCGGTGTGGGGTAGCGCATGTAATCAGGTGCATCCGGCGTCACATTATCGTTTGCGAAAATCAGATTTCGGTGGTTGTGGCTATAGTCGGGTGTTGCGGACCATTCAAACGCAACAAACGAAGTGAAACTGCAGGGGTCGTTGGCTTCATTCGCCTGATCCTGCACACGTTGCCACTGGGTCAAATGAGCCGAGGCACAAAGTTCAGGCTGCTCTTCACACAACGGTGTTGGTTGAGGCTGGGCTTCAGTGATTGTCGGCAGGACATAGTTACGAAACACCTCAGTGCCTGTCTGCGGTGTATTTTTCTCAGTGAGGATATCGCAATACGGATGGTCACTGGCCAAAGGGTCTGTACAGACATACATCAGATTGAACCACTCGGCGTGATCTGTCACGGCCATGAAGTCCAGTGGCCGCGGCATGCTGACCGAATTCCCACCCGGCAGCGTTATCGGTGCACCCTTTGCAAAAGCATACGCCTGGGCTGGCGTTGTCGCTGTGCCGTACCCCCAGGCATCCAGGGAATAACCCGAATGCACATGCAGGTCACCCCAGTAGATGTGCTTTACGCCGGCCACTGAACCTGGACAGGTGTCTGCAGCCACAAATGGACTCAGCACAATGAGACAGGCGCAAGCTACAAGCTTGAACAGACACTGCCGATGTCTATATGAGGCCCTCACAGCCAACTATATAGGCCCGTTAGCAGGCAGACCTACCAACAGACGGCCATATATCTCGGTACTGACATCCAGATCAAAAACCGTGTGACAGGAGGCTGTATTCAAGTCACGCAAGGCGCGCTGCAATGGGTTGTCCAGAAAATGTGCACTGGCGCCACATGCTTCCACCACATCACGAACCACGTTTCGCGAACGCCGGACAAGATGTCCAATTTCAACCCGCAGGCGAGCACGATCAATATCAGGGCAGGGTTCGCCGCGCTCACCCCAGCTTTCAACCTCTCCCGCCACATGAAACAGCTGATCAACAATGGCATCCATTTCGACTCTGGCATGCGCCAGGCGGGACTGGGCCAGGGCACGTTCACCTTGCTTGCTTGTTGTGCCATAAACCGTGCGACCCTGCATGCGCTCTTCAAACAGGCGCACTGCATTTTTCGCCGCACCCACCAACGGCGCGGTTGCCGTCAGGCCGAGAACAGGGAGCATGGGCATTTTGTAGATTGGCGAGTTGTGCAGACGCGCCCCGGGGCTGTTGCCATCCCGCACCAGAGAAAGATCCACCATTCGGTGTTCAGGCACAAAAACATCTTTGATTTCGATGTCGTTACTGCCGGTACCCACCATGCCTTCAACGTGCCAGGTATCAATAATTTCTGTTTCTTCAACCGGCAGGACAAACATGCCCATCATAGGCGCGTCCTGACCCGGGACCGGGGTGAGCACACCGACCATAACCCAGTTGGCGTGCATGACACCGGTACCCCACTGCCAGCGACCGCTGATGCGATAACCATCGTCGACAGGGGTGGCCCTACCATTGGGCGCGAGACTGCCAGGAGCAATGATATACGGATGAGAACCAAACAGATCGTCCTGGGCGGCCTGGTCGTACAGTGCCAGCAGCCAGTTGTGCTCCATACAGAAGGTGGTTACCCAGGCGTGTGAGGTACAGCCTTCTCCCAGGGCGATACCCACTTCCATAAATCCGCTCAGCGAGTATTCATAGCCACCATATTTTTTGGGCACAAACCAACGGTAAGCGCCGGTATCTTCAATGGCCTGCATGACGGTATCGACTGGCTTACGCTGTTGTTCGGCCAAGGCCGCGTTCTCACTCAAGATGGGTGCAAGAGCAGATAACGACTCGATCAATGCGCGCTCGCCATCAGATATGTGATGCCCCGACATCGTGGTTCGACCCGAATGCGCGGCGGCAGAATCTCTTTTTGAAGAGGCACCTTGCATGATCGTTCCTTCCGCCATAACTCTCTCCCCGGGATACCTACAAGCGACTGGTGGGTTTCATTCTACTTGCTTAACGCTCAAGATCAATATACTTTGATCGCTAAGTACTTTCGGCCGTATGAAGAGGGATCATGCCAAACTGGGAACGTGAATTTGTCTCCTGCACTTCCGCCACCAGCGCACGCAATGGCGCCGGTTTTAACCCTTGCCAGGGCCTCTACTTCAAGCCCAGTGGCAAACCGGCAAAAACAGCACTCATTGCAACCCACTACAACGTTGACTTCAGCGAGCATTACCTCGGCCCTTATATGGCAGAGCGTGGTTTTGGTTTTCTCGGCTGGAACACACGCTTTCGCGGCAATGAAGCATTTTTCCTGCTGGAACATGCACTTATCGACATAGGCGCCGGTGTTAAATGGCTGCGTGAAACCGCCGGCGTGGAAAACATTGTCATCCTTGGCAACTCCGGCGGAGGCTCCCTGATGGGCGCTTATCAATCACAGGCACTCGGCGTCACCATGTCTGCCACGCCGGGTCTCAAAATACCGGATGCGCTGCATGACCTGATACCTGCGGAGCTGTACATATCCCTGTGCGCCCACCTTGGACGCCCGGAAGTGCTCACCGATTGGTTTGACCCGTCCATCACAGATGAGCGCGACCCAACCAGTATTGACGAAAGCCTTAACATGTTTAACCCGGACAACGGGCCACCCTACGCAGCTGATTTCATAGAGAAATATCGAGCCGCCCAGCGGGCACGCAATCACCGCATAACCGACTGGTGTTATGCGGAACTGGAACGCCTGGCAGAACTGGGTATGACTGATCGGGCGTTCAACATGTATCGCACCTGGGCTGATCTGCGGCTGATGGATGGCACCATGGATCCATCTGAACGGGAAGTTGGACGCTGTTACGCCGGCGATCCGAAAACTGCCAATTTCTCTCCCAGAGGCATCGGCTTGAACAATACATTGCGCACCTGGCTGTCGATGTGGTCATTGCGCGATTCGCACTGCAGCGGCACCGAACATCTGAGTCGAATATCTCAACCAGCGCTGGTAATTCAAAGCACAGGAGATACCGGCGTATTTCCCAGCGATGCCAAATCGATCTACGACACGCTCGCAAGTACGGACAAACATCTTGAGATGATCCCTGGCGACCACTATCTGGAAAACCCGGGTGATGCACGCGACAAAGTCGCGGACATGATTGTCGATTGGTTGCGCACTAAAGGAGGCTGAATATGCCGCAAACGGCCAAGCCGCTGCCACCCAACCCCTACCTGGAACCTATGCACAGCATGGGTTATCTGACCCGAGTGAACTTCCGCATGTTCTCCAGAGCTTTGGAGAAGTTGACGCTGCCTCACGGCGTAAGCGCCGGACAATGGCGATTACTCAGAGTGCTGTGGGAAGAAGACAACATCACACAAAGGGAGTTAAGCGAGCGAACCGGCACCAAAGAAGCAACTACGGTGCATGCCGTACGCAGCCTTGTTGAAGCGGGTTTTGCCAAACGCACGCGCAGCAAAGACGACAAACGCAAGGTCTTCATCACTTTAACGCCACGGGCACACAATTTGCGCGCAACACTGATGCCGAAGGTGGTCACCGTTAACGAGATTGCACTTGCCGGCATAGACCCCAGAGAGGTCGACATTGCCAGAAAGGTGCTGGCGCAGACTTACGCAAACCTTAGCGATCATCTTGGAGAAACCCATGATTGAGTATCCGATCCTACCCACCTCGCTGGTGGGCAGCTACGCCCAACCGGACTGGCTGATTGATAAATCACGTCTGGGTGCGCGCCTGCCGCCCAGAGTTATTCTGCATGAATTGTGGAAACCCGCACCGGATGATTTAGAAGAAGCGCAGAACGACGCAACGCTGATTGCCCTGGATGATCAGCGACGCGCCGGTGTGGACATTGTCACCGACGGCGAAATGCGGCGCGAAAGCTATTCCAACAGATTTGCAAACGCGTTGGAGGGTGTAAACATAGACAACCCCGGGGAAGCCATCGACCGAACTGGTAAAAAAGTGCCTGTGCCTCGTGTCACCAGCGCGATCAGACGCCGGGCAGCAGTAGAAGCGCCGTATATCGCTTTCCTCAAAGCACATACCGACAAACCCATAAAAATTACCCTGCCGGGGCCTTTCACGCTGGCACAACAAGCCGATAATCAGTTTTATGAAAACGACGGCGATCTGGCAATGGCCTACGCCGAGGCTGTTAACGAAGAACTCAGAGATCTTTTTGCAGCGGGCGTGGATATCGTACAACTGGACGAGCCTTATGTGCAGGCGCGTCCCGAGGCTGCTCGAGAGTACGCGGTGGCCGCCATTGACCGCGCTTTGCAGGGCGCGGCAGGCCCTACCGTCCTGCATGTCTGTTTCGGCTATGGCAAGCACGTTGATAACAAACCTGAGGGATATGCATTCCTCGGAGAGCTGGATGCCTGCCGCGCAGACGAGGTGTCAATTGAATGCGCGCAACCCAAACTGAAAATGGATTTACTCGCTTGCCTGCCTAACAAAAAAGTACACGTTGGTGTTTTAGACCTGCGTGATACAACACCTGAAACGCCAGAGATGGTTGCCGATCGCATCCGCGCCGCGCTTAAGGTCATACCTGCGGAGCAGATTGTCGTCGCACCAGACTGCGGCATGAAATACCTGTCACGTGAGGTTGCCTTTGAAAAGCTCCGCAATATGGTGCTGGGCAGAGACATTGTCAGAGCAGAGATCTCATGAGCACTGAACATCACTATGTTGTTGTCACCTTCAAGACAACGCCAGATAACCAGAGCCAGGCAGTGGATGACATTGCCAGCTATGTCGACAGCTTCCTCAGCCGCCAGCCGGGCTTCATCCAAAGCCAGCTGCTGGCGAGCAACGATGGGCAGACCCTTGTCCACCAGGCCCAATGGATAAATGAAGCCGCGTTCCAGGCCGCCGGCGTATTGGCACGGGAGCATCCTGACCTGCCTAAACTGATGGCCTACGAACCCAAAGGTATTGGCTACCGCCAGATGCGAACATTCTGACCGGCCATTCCGCACGATGCGCATAAAAGCGATTCATGAAAAGACTGTTAATCTGCAGGGCAACATCGCCAATGCGGTGGTCGACTTTTCGAAACATACGGTTTCGCTGGTTGCCATTGTCAGCGATCAGATCAGAGAGGGTAAAGCAGTCACCGGTCTGGCCTTCAATTCCATAGGTCGTTTTGGCCAGGGCGGCATTCTGCGCGAGCGCATGATGCCCCGCCTGCTGGAGGCAGATCCAGCATCACTATTGAGCGCGGACGGCAATCGCTTTGATCTGACAAAAGTGTCCGCCGCCATCATGCGCGACGAGAAACCTGGTGGGCACGGCGATCGTGCCGGTGCAGCGGCAGCCCTGGAGCTGGCGTTCTGGGATCTCAACGCAAAACTCGCCGATCAGCCTGCGTATCAATATATCGCGCAGACCCTAGAGCAGATGCCGCCCGTACCGGGTGCAGAAGTCTACGCCGCAGGCGGCTACTACTACCCGGGCGGATCGAGCGGCCGTTTAGCGGACGAGCTGAAGTCCTATCAGGACCAGGGGTATCAGTCCTTCAAAATCAAAATTGGCGGCGCCTCGCTAACAGAAGACATGCAACGTATTGAGGCCGCTATCAACATTGCGGGCAGCCCAGGAGCTATAGCAGTGGATGCTAACGGGCGGTTCGATCTGCCCACCGCGCGGATCTATGCAGAACAACTGGCTACCTATAACCTGCGCTGGTATGAAGAACCAGGAGATCCGTTAGACTACGCCCTGCTGGCAGAACTCGGCGAGCACTACCACGGCTCAATTGCCACCGGTGAAAACCTTTTCAGCGCGGCTGATACCCACAATCTGATGCGCTATGCCGGCCTGCGTCCTGACAAAGACATTCTGCAGATGGACCCGGGTTTATCTTACGGCCTGACCGAGTATCAGAAAATACTGCAGGTCACCAGCGACGCTGGGTTCCCCAGGACACAGTGCATTCCTCACGGTGGTCACCTGATCAATCTGCACATTGTCACCGCGCTGGGGCTGGGGGGTTGTGAAGCTTATCCCGGTGTATTCAACCCGTTTGGCGGCTATTCCGCACAAAGTCGAATTTTCGACGGACGGGTGTTTCCCAGCGATGCACCTGGCTTCGGCCTGGAGCAGAAAACAGAATTAGTACCTTTTATCGAGCGTCTGCTGGAAAGCTGAAATGAATATATTTGTTGTAGGTTGCGGAGCTATGGGATCGATCTATGCAGCCCTGCTTGCATCTGCAGGCCATGACGTCTCTGTCGTCGACCCCAATGAAGATCACATCAACACAATCAACACGCACGGACTGCGCGTCAGTGGCGCAAGTGGCGATCGCACCGTGCAGCTGCAGGGCTATACCACTCCCCCCGAGATGCCAACAGACCTGATCATCTGCGCGGTGAAAGCGCGTTTTATCGAATCTGCAGCCGCCTCTCTGCAACCCCTTATCGCCCCACACACGCGCGTGCTGACCATCCAGAACGGACTCGGCAGTGCGGAAACAGTTGCCAACCACGTGGGTGAGGAACGCCTGCTGGTCGGCGTTGCCCAGGGGTTTGGCGCTTCACTGCCGGAGCCCGGTTTTGCACACCATAACGACATGAAAGCCATCCGCATGGGGGCTTACGACAGCCTTGCTTATGCTGAAGTCAGCAGCATTGCTCAAGTGTGGGCAGACGCCGGATTTGATGCCGCGCCGGTTATCGACATCGCAGCTATGCAATGGGAGAAACTCATCTGCAACGTCGCCTATAGCGCACCTTGCGCCATTTCAGGCTTGACCGTAGGTGACGTCCTCGATCACCCGCACATGAGTATTGTCAGCAGAGCTGCTGCACGGGAAGCTTTTGACGTGGCCATAGCGTCAGGCGTGACACTGCGGTTTACCGACCCGGATAGAGAGATTAGAGACTTTGCAGAACGCATGCCCAATGCCAAACCCTCGGTGTTGCTGGATCTGGAAGCAGGTCGCATCAGCGAAGTAGACGTGATCAATGGCGCAATACCACGACAGGGTGCAAAAGTGGGCCTCAACGCACCTGTTAACGCAACCTTAACTGAACTGGTTCAGACACTGGAATCAAAAGGCCATTCTTGATCACAGCAACCGGATAACAGCACACTGTTTGTGTGATCCGCTTACCAGTTTAGATCTCTAACCGCGACCAAAAGATCTACGACTCTACCAAGCGCAAGGTCTGACCACATCGATTTGACTATCATAGGCTTTATCGCAAACCACTAACGGATGCCCGCAGACCAGATGGTCGATATCACTTACCTACTGCTGGGCGTTCTGGTCATCTACTTCATCGTGGTTTTCAACCAACTGATCGCCGCGCGCAACAGTTGTACCAATGCCAGAGCAGGTATTGACGTGAATCTGGCGCGCCGCCACCAGCTCATTCCCAACCTGGTAACAGTGGTTAGTGGATATGCTGCCCATGAGAAAAGCACTCTGACTGCAGTGACTTTAGCGCGAAGCCAGGCGATAGATGCATTAGGCGGCGCGCAGAGTGCTGGGGCGGAGGCAGGTCTGGCTCAGGCATTAGCCCTGTTAAACGTTCGCCTGGAAGCCTACCCGGAGTTGCGGGCCCAGGTCCCTTTTATCAATCTGATGAAAAATCTGACCGAAGCAGAGGAACAGATCTCAGCCTCACGGCGGGCCTTCAATGCCCATGTGATGCTTATGAACAACCTTGTGCAGCAATTTCCAACCCTGATTGTTGCCAAACTGTGCGGCTTCAGCGTCCAGACGCCTTATGCTGCCGAAACAGGCGCCCAGCAGGCACCCATCGTGAACCTGGCTGGCTAATCCCATTGAACGCTCGGAGCTGGCAGGCCAGCAATTCTGCACATCTGACCGGACTGGAAGAGACTTTTCAAATTTTGGAACGTCAGCGCCGTCGGGCTATCAGGGCATTCTGGCTCACGTTGTGTAAAGCTTTTCTGTTGCTGCCATTTTGTTTGTTGCCTGCATTGCTCTTCTTACCAAGTGACGATGTTATTGTTTTGCAGACACTGACAGAACAGAGCGCATCGCTTCTAGGCTGGGAGGCTGAAGGAGCAGCAAATCTTGCCTTGGGCTTGTTCATCGGCGGCTCGATCTGGTTCTTCGGCGGGTTGTATCTTCTGCTGCGTTACTTCAACCGGAGTGGGCGAGAACCCGGCTGGGCCTACCTGCGTGACTATAAATCTACAATCTTCAGCAGGATTTGCGCTTCACATTTCCCGGGACTCGCTTACAGGCCTGACAACGGAATTCCATGGCGCGTCCTTGATGACAGCAACCTGTTTCCCTGGATCAGTGACTGGTACCAGAGTGAAGATCTCTTCGAAGGTCACGTACAGCAGACTGACATTACCTTTGCAGAAGCACATGCTAAACGAGAGCGCCGCCGGGTGACCGGAGATGGTGTCGAAACGTATCTGGACAGCTACTTTCGCGGCATCATTTTCATTGCTGAATTTCATAAACACTTTCACAGCACAACCCGCATCACGCCGGCAGGTGAAAAGCAGAAACGTGTCCGCAGGCAGAAAGAAGTTGTGCTTGAGGACCCGGAGTTTCAGGCTCAGTTTGCCACGGTAAGTACCGACCAGACGGATGTACGCTACATATTGAGTACCAGCATGATGCGGCGAATCCTGTCGGTGCACAGAAGATTTCCAAAGCTACGGATTCTTTTCCAGAAAGATCAGATGATCATGCTGCTACCCACCGGCAAAAATCGTTTTGAGCCTTCTCTATATCAACCCGCCGATTGTGCAGGACAAATCAACAGCTTTATTAGTGATGTTGAAGCGCTGCTCGCCCTGGTTAACGAACTCAGTCTGAACCTGCGGATATGGTCAAAGTCCTGACATGACGCGAGCAGGAAATTGTTGTCCCTTTCGCGTATACTCGACGCCTTCTCTGGTTATGAGTCATTTTACGATCAATGCCTTTTTGTGCAGCTGGGATTCATGCGAATCCGACCAAAACCAACACACCTACAAAGAGGGCTGACGCAATCTGATGAAAAAACCGAATTATTCCCATGAAAAACGCCAACGCGAGTTAGCAAAACAGAAAAAGAAAGAAGCAAAGAAACTCAACAAGGCCAAACAAGGAGCCGACAGTGAAGAAGAAACAACCCGAATCGAATCCTAACTCAGCACTACGTCGTGAAGCGCTGGCTTCTGATGTAGAGCGTTTTCTGAACTCCGGAAATAAAATCGAACAGATTCCTACCGGCGTATCCGCTCAGGCAAACTTTGCTCCCGGTAAGCCACGACAGGCAGCCCAGGACAACACCAAAAAAACTGAGACCCCCAGCACTACTGACACCCCCAGCACTTAGGATGAGTTTTTGATCCATTTGCGAGGACTATGAAAATGTCTAAATGGGGCGTTTTCCTGGCAGGTTGGATCGTTATCCTGTTTGGCGCGGGGCTCGCGCACTTCATCCAGACATCTTCTGATGTCACGATCAAAGATATTCGTTTTCAAAGTGCAAACGGCAACACGCTGAGCGCACTGTTGTATCTGCCTGCCAGCGCCACCGCTGACAACAAAGCCCCTGCCATCCTTGCCGTACACGGTTATATCAATTCACGTGAAGTGCAATCCGGATTCGCTGTTGAGTTTGCCCGACGCGGCTATGTTGTTCTCGCTTTGGACCAGACCGGCCACGGTTATTCAGACCCTCCCGCCTTCAGTGAAGGATTCGGTGGACCGGATGCACTGCGATACCTGCACGCGCTGGACATGGTGGATACGGAAAATATCGGCCTGGAAGGACACTCGATGGGTGGCTGGGCAGTGCTTGCCGCAGCTGCAGCCATGCCTGATGGCTATCGCTCTATTGTCCTGCAGGGTTCAAGCACAGGCCCTCCGTTTGCGGCTGACGGTACACCCACCTGGCCACGAAATCTGGCGGTTGTATTCGCTCAATTCGACGAGTTTGCTGAACTTATGTGGGGTGTGGCCCGCGCACAGGACATTAATCAGAGCGCCAAACTACAGACTCTGTTTGGCACCGATAAAGACGTTCTGGCAGACACCCTGTACGGCAACATCGAAGCCGGTACAGGGCGTATGCTGATGCAGCCATCAGTCACTCATCCAGGCAACCACCTTTCACATGAATCCATCGCTGATGCATTGGACTGGTTCTCGCAAACCCTGACGGGAGGGCAGGATCTGCCGTCATCAAATCAGATCTGGTTTTTCAAGGAAATCGGTACGCTGATTGCGTTTATTGGACTGGTTGTTCTCATTCTTGGCAGCCTGCGTCTTTTTCTCAACCTCGAATTCTTCAGCAGCCTGGCAGGCTCAACCGGTGAGGCAGCGTTCAGCCACCGAAACGTAAAGTGGTGGTTGCTGGCTACCCTGAGCGCTTTCTTGCCGGTCTTTACCTTTTACCCACTTTTCTCCTGGGCGGAGGCTTTGTTTCCACCCAACACCTGGTTTGCCCAAGGTATAACCAATCAGATTGTGCTCTGGGCATTGGTCAACGCGGCTTTCGCGACGGCAATCATGAAAATGACGGCTACCGCGGCGCGACACAACGCCGAGTTACCCGGACGCAGCTTAGCGCTTGGATGCCTTACCGCTGGTGTGGCGTACCTTACGGTCATCGTCGTGGATGTGGTGTTCACCGTTGATTTCCGCTTCTGGTTTGTAGGCCTTAAAACCTTGAGCCTGCAACAGTTCCAGCTGGCGCTGATCTACGTTGTACCCTTTCTCATTTACTTCATCGGCGTGCTCAGGCCCCTGCACTTAGGCATGAGCGTAAACGGGGATGGATGGCTGACACTCTACACAGCCAACGCGCTGGCGATGATGGGCGGTTTCCTGTTATTTCTGATGGCTCAATATGGTTATCTTTTCAGCGCGGGCACACTGCTGACACCAGGCGAACCACTGAACACCATTGTAATGATCCAGTTTGTGCCCCTGCTTCTGATCGTCGCCATTATCAGCACCTATGCCTTCCGTCGGACGGAACGGTATCTACCGGGGGCCATCGTAAACGCACTGTTTGTTACCTGGTATATTGTTGCCGGACAAGCCACACAAGTTGCCTGAGGGGTTTGTTCGCCCGACTTTGCGGAGAGAAGACATGAACACGACGCTGTTTCGGCAATCGGTCTGGGTCGCTTTATTTGCCATCGTTTTACTCTGGTCAGGCATCGGGCCTCACGACTATCCAACCTGGGTCCTGGAAGTAGGACCGGCGATCATCGCTGCAGCGGTGCTATGGTACACCCGGGAATCCTTTCCCCTGACACCACTGACATATGTCCTCATCCTGACTCACTGCATTATCCTCATGGTTGGCGGACATTACACCTACGCCAAAGTCCCTTTGTTCGACTGGATCGCTGAAGTCTTCAACAGCGACCGCAACAACTACGACAAGCTGGGACACTTTGTACAAGGTTTTGTACCCGCTATTGTTGCGCGGGAAATTCTGATCAGAAAAGCCGTTGTTAACGGCGATCGCTGGAGAGCCTTTCTGATTATCTGTTTTTGCCTTGGCTTCAGCGCGTTTTATGAACTCATCGAATGGTGGGTAGCCTTGTTATCCGGCGAAGCCGCTGAATCATTCCTCGGCACCCAGGGGTATGTATGGGACACTCAATCTGACATGGCCTGGGCACTTGCTGGAGCGACAATCGCCCTTGTTTTATTGAGCCATACGCATAATCAGCAACTACAGAATCTGGAGCTAACAGCTTGATATTAAACAACGCCATGACACTCACCCGCACGCTGGCAGCCATTTTTTTTCTTTTCTTGGCTGGCTTTGCACACGCAGAGGAAATTGGCAGCGTTGATACCAAATTCAAGCTCATCGGGCCAGATCACAAAATTGTCGTCGACGCTTTTGACGACAGTAAGGTTGAAGGCGTTGCCTGTCATATCAGCCGTGCGGTAACGGGTGGACTTAAAGGTGCCGTCGGACTGGCTGAAGACACATCAGATGCTTCAATTTCCTGCCGTCAGGTCGGTCCAATTACCTTCAAAGATTCGTTGGAAAAAGGTGAGCAGGTGTTTACCGAACGGCGCTCAGTGCTTTTCAAACAGTTGCAGGTTGTTCGATTCTGCGATGAAACGAGAAATACGCTGGTCTACCTGGCCTACAGTGACAGGATCGTCGACGGATCACCGCAAAATGCCATATCAACCGTACCCATCACGCCATGGTCTGGTGCTCAGACACCACCACGCTGCAACGACGAGTAGCCAAACACCGGCTCTATACCTTCACAACTTGTGTCCAGAAGAGGCAAATGGTCGGCGTCTATGTCCGTATAGGCCGAACGCCAACGATCAACCCAGACAGGATCCTCAGTGCTGTCCGGGTGATGCGACGGGAGCGAAGCCTGCAGCATGGAAGGCGCCACCTTTAGAAAGAACCGGCAGACCATGCGCCAAAGTGCCAAGCGAGAGCGCCACTGATGCCAGCGACCATCTTGCTTGAGCATCGCCATGTATCCTCTACGCGAGAGCAACCCTACATGCATCGAACCGTAAACCAACCCCCACAGGCGCAGCCAGAAAGAACCCGAAACTGCCTGAAAAACATCAAACGCCACAGATTTATGCTCCATTTCCTCCACCATGTGCCACAACACCAGGGAGGTAACAACGGGATCAGCGTCCTGAAACAGGCTCTCGCGTTCTGCAATCAACCAATGCGTAAGACCCATGGTCATGGTTTCAAAGCCGGCAGTATAGGCTAGCCGCCACTCTAATGACCGTGAACTCAACCGCTTGTAGCTTTGCGTCATTGAAGCCTCAACATCCGCCAGCTGCGGATAACCATGCCGCTTTAGCATTTCGTTGTAGCGCCGGTGATTTGTATAGTGCTGCGCTTCCTGACCGACAAACAAACGGATGTCTTCAATAAGATCAGGATCTTCGATAAGCGCCTGCGCTTCACGCAAATTTTTGATCAAGAAAGGTTCAAGATATGGCATCGCCAGAGAGGCACCATTGACCATATGGCTCCATTCCGGCTGCTTGGCATTCCAGACAGGTGCTATGTCGTCACTGAACTCAAATGGAATTTTCCGTATCTCTATCGGATGGCTCATTCATCTGGCGCCAGAGCGCGGTAATGTTTCCATGCACCCCAGGCCATCAGGCCGAAGGCAATGTGAACCGCAGTTATCGGTGGCCAACCAAAAAGGTAGATGACATTGTTGGCCAGGCTGTCACCAAAAGGACCGCCACCAAACGCAAGCCCACGGGTGCCAAACCAGGCATTGGCAATTGCAGGCAGCGTGAACAACCAGGCGAAGGTGAGCGAACTGTAGAACAGCCAGCTGAATTGTTTTTTGGTTAACATGAGATAGCGGCTGGCAACCGCAACCCCTATGAGCAGCAGGCCATTCGTAATACCTTCCAGGTGTGCCATGATCCATGCACGGGATTCACCCGGCACCTGCACATCCACATGATGAACGATCGGCCACAGGTCAATTTCTCCAAGGAGCTGAAAGAAATGCAGCCAGCCGCTGAGCGCAGAACTGATCAGCAGGCCCACGGCATTTAGAACCAGTAACGCTTTATATCTTTCGCTCAACCTTAAACTCGCCTAGATCAATTTAAAACCCTGCTCGCTCAGCGGCATGGAACGTATCCGCACGCCGGTGGCTGCATAAATCGCATTGGTGACAGCCGGGGCCAGCGGTGGCAGAGCCGGTTCACCCAGGCCCGTTGAAGGGTTATCGCTTTCAATAAAGTGTACGTCAACTTCCGGTGTTGCCGCCATGCGCATAACCGGATATTGATCAAAGTTATCCTGCTGGATTTGACCGTTTTCCATGGTGATCTGCTGCAGTGCCATAGTACTCAGGCCATCAATCACCGAGCCCTGTACCTGGCTCATTGCACCACTGCGGTTAACAATTGGGCCCACGTCCACGGCAACCGTCACCTTCTCGACGCGAAAGTTGCGATCTGCATCAACGGACACCTGGGCTACTTCTGCAACATGCGCCGCATGACAGAAATAGAACGCCAGCCCCAGACCTGTACCTGCCGGCAATGTCTTACCCCAACCGGCTTTATCCGCGGCCAGCTTGATAACATCGATGGCTCGGCCAGTGTTCAAGGCATTAACGTTACCCTCGCTGAGCCAACGTCGCTCACCCATAAGCTCCAACAGAAATTCCAAATGATCCCGTTCGGCCAGCACCGCAAGCTCATGGATAAATCCCTGCTCTACAAAAGCGTTGGTATTCGAACCCGGTGCCCGCCAGGCACCGCAGGGTGTTGCTATCTCGATCATCGACTGGCGCACACGCGCATTGTCGAGTGCAACCATGGAAAATTCATTGCCGCGCAGACCGGAACCAATGACCGGATTACCCTGCTTGGAGAAGCCTATGTAATGCTGATCCCAGGCGGCCAGCTTCCCATCTGAATCAATGGCTGCTTTCATCTGCTCAAAACCACCGACCCTGAAAAAATCGTTGTGAATGTCGTCTGGTCTCGTCCAGGTCAACTTGACGGGCAATCCGACGCGATGGGAAATGGCCATGGCTTCTGCGGCAAAATCATGTACGGCTCGGCGCCCGAAGCCACCCCCCATACGCTTGGCATGCACGGTGACATTTTCCGGTGCAATACCAAACATGTTGTTGGCTATCTCTTTGACCTGGCCGGGAAACTGACTGCCCAACCAGATTTCCATTTGATCCGGATTGTTGGCATCCCCCTTCTTGAAGTGCACTGTTGCATTCATCGGTTCCATGCACACGTGTGCAACATAAGGGAACTGATAAAAGGCTTCGTGCACACGATTGTCAGCTTGCGCAAATGCGGGCTCCACGCCGGCATTGTCGAGGCGAACTTCACCACTTTCCCTGGCCGCTATCTGCTTCGCCTGAGCCACCATCTGCGTCCAGCTGTCTTGGGATGCAGAAGACTCATCCCAGGTTACTTTTAGCTTTTTCCTCGCGGCCAACACCGACCAGGTGTCCTCACCGACAATGGCGACACCACCACGCAGGTCAGCCAGGCCATCGAGAAAAGCCATTGAAGCTTTACCAGCCCGTGCATCAGGTTGCAGGATGAAGGCATCGATAACACCCGGCAGACTTTTAATTTCTGCCGCATTAAAAGCTGTCGCAAGACCACCGATCCGAGGACAGCGTGCATAAGTTGCAAACTTCATCCCCGGCACATCAACATCAATACCAAACTGTGACTGGCCGGACACAATAACAAGGTTGTCCACACCACCCACCGAGGTGCCGATAATTGTATACGAGCGTGGATCTTTGAAAGACAGCATTTCCGGATCGGGAATGGGTTGACGCACCGCAACTGCAGCCAGCTGCCCAAAGGTCATACTCTCCCCGGAAGAGTGAACAACCTTACTTTCGCGAGCATCAAGGTCTTCGCGCTCTACCTCCATCAACAACGATGCAGCGCCAATCAGCATTTCCCGCGCTGAAGCTCCCATGCGTCGCATGGTATCTATATTTCTCGGTACGGAAGTTGAACCGCCAGCGCCCTGCAGCCCGTACTTGCCGGCATCCAGCGGCGCATCCAGGACAACCACATCCTCCCACCTGGCGCCCATCTCTTCCGCAATGATCATCGGCAGCGTTGTTTTAATACCCTGTCCCATTTCCGGAATAGCTGAAAAAATAGTGATCTGGCCATCCGTATCAATCTGCACATACACGTTGAGTTCTTTGGATTGGACCAGTGTGCCACCGTCCTCCGCCAGTGCTGCCATTGGCATATTCAGCTGCAGCATCAGCCCACCGCCGGCTAAGGCGGAGACTTTGAAAAGGTTGCGTCGGTTTATGCGCGTGATACTCATTGGCCAGCTCCTGTCACTTTGCTGGACGAGGTATCTGCGTCGTAATAGGCAGCAGCAGTGTGAATAGCCTGGCGGACTCTGATGTAAGTACCACAACGACAGTAGTTACCCGCCATCGCTTCATCTATGTCGGTATCGTTCGGTTTTTTATTGTTCGCCAGCAGTGCCGCTGCACTCATGATCTGACCCGCCTGACAGTAACCACACTGGGCAACATCATGCTGTATCCAAGCGCTCTGTAACGGATGCAGGCTACCACCCTGGGCCAGGCCCTCAATGGTTGTGACGGGACCGGACACCGCTGCGACAGGCAGTACACAGGAACGCACGGGCGCACCATTCACGTGGACAGTACACGCGCCACACTGGGCTATGCCACAACCGAATTTGCTGCCGGTGAGCTTCAGTTTGTCACGCAAAACCCAAAGCAAAGGCATGTCAGGCTGAGCCTCAACCTCAACTTGTTCACCATTCACCATCAACAAAAACTTGCTCATCGACGTATCCCCTACCCATTCCCAGATTTACTATTGACCATCGGCAAAAACAGCCCGACTGACATACTGCCCGAATCCCCGCGACCCAACAACTTCACTGATGCATCAGGCCGTCCAGCAAGGAGCTGCGACTGAGGATGGTGACTGGGGTGGATAGTGTTTACCATGATGTCCATATGCGACTTTTTCTAGCCCCCATGGAAGGTGTTATCGACCACCACTTTCGCTCCCTTTATAGCGGGATTGGTGGCGTGGACATCTGTGTTAGCGAATTTATCAGAGTCAACAACTTGCCCACGCCGGCAAAAACACTGTTGCGCGAATGTCCTGAGCTGGAGTTTGCAGACCCGGCTATCGGGCAACGGTGTCTGACGTCAGGCGGCGTCCCGCTGCGCATACAATTGCTGGGCAGCAACCCGGAAACACTGGCGAAAACTGCACAAACTGCGGCAAATCTCGGTGCCAGCGCCATAGATCTTAATTTCGGCTGCCCCGCAAAAACGGTAAACAACAGCAAAGGCGGTTCGGTTCTGCTCAAACAACCCGACCTGGTCAAGCGGATTGTTGCAGCGGTACGCAGCGCGGTACCTGTCGACGTACCTGTGACCGCCAAAATCCGTCTGGGCTTCGAAGACCGGAGTCTGTATCTCGACAACGCACTGGCCATCGCCGCCGCAGGCGCAGATGAATTGTGTGTCCATGCCCGATCACGTGCGGACGGCTATAACCCACCTGCCTACTGGTCTTACATTGCCCGCATTGTCGAGCAGATCAGCATCCCGGTGATCGCCAACGGCGAAATCTGGACTGTGGAGGACTGGGCACGTTGCAGAGAAGAAAGCCAGTGCAACGACTTTATGATGGGACGCGGCCTGATTGCGTGTCCGGATCTGGCGCTGCAGATAAAAGCCCATGCAGCGAGAGAAGATTATCAGGCCCTGCAGTGGGCTGATGTGCTGGTGCTACTGGAAAGATTCTACCTGGCTACTAAAGACGCCTATCCCAGACGTTTCCTGGGCAATCGTTTAAAGCAGTGGCTGTTTTACCTGCAGATGCACTACCCCGAAGCCGAGTCGTTTTTTCAGGCAATAAAACGCTTTAAGCAGCCCCACGAATTTGAAGCTGCTTTTACTTCGGTCCCCAGATCTGCTCAAGCCGCTGATCTCGACCACAACCCCATCGATAAGCGGCATAGCGGACCGGATTTTTCTTATAGAAATCCTGATGCCCAATTTCAGCGCCTTTAATTGGGTAGAACGTGGCTGCAGGTAGTATCGGTGTGACAACCGTCTGATCGGGAAAGCGAGCGACAACCGCTTGTTTGGACTTTTCAGCCAGGTCTCGTTCTTCTTCATTGGCGACAAAAATGGCGCTCAGATAGCTCGGGCCTTTGTCGCAGAACTGCCCTGCGGCATCAAATGGATCAATGTTAATCCAGAAGTGCTTGAGGATATCTTCATAACTCAGCACATCTGCATCGTATGTGATCTCAACAGCTTCATAGTGCCCTGTATGGTCGCCCCGATAAGTTGGGTTTTTTGCCGTCCCGCCAGTAAATCCGGATATGACATCTGTGACGCCTTCCAGTTCTTCAAAGTCTTTTTCCATACACCAGAAACACCCGCCTGCCAGAATGGCTGTATCCGCCAGGGCGTAAGGTGTAAAGGCGCTGCCAAAGAACAGGACAAGAAAGGCTAAAGGTTTCGACATGACTACCTAGATTTTGATAAATGGATCGCTGTTCACCAGATCTTTGAAAGAACTGCGATGCATAAGTTCCGTCACGTACCGAGTGATATTCGGATACTTTTTGCCAGGCAGTTGCTCACCGGCATACAACATCTGAATAAACTGACAGGTCACCGCGATATCCGCGATACTGAACCTATCCCCAACCAGGTAGGTTTTATCGCCTATCTGCGCCTCCAGGTAGTCGAATATTGGCGGCTGCACATCATCCAGTATTTTCTGAATGACCGCTTCGTCCGGTTCCCGCTTCATCATTTTCACTGCAATACGATTGAAAAACAGCGAAGCGGTTGCTTTGGGCAGTTCGTTGTCAGCCCAATCTTCGAACCACAGCGCGCGACCATAATCAGCAGGGTCGCTGGGATACAGCGGATTTTCCGGGTGCTTTTTCTCGATATAACCACAGATGGCTGACGAATCCGGGATAGCCAGGTCACCGTCGGTCATGGCGGGGATTTTACCCAACGGAGAAATTTTCAGAAAATCAGCGGGCGGCGGAAAGGGACTGATTGGATCCAGGTCGTAAGCTATGCCTTTTTCAATCAGGCAGACCAGGGTTTTACGAACGAAGGGGGAAACTGACGAACCGTGAATGGTGATCAAGTGAATACTCCAGATACGAATTTGCCGCCAGTATACCGTTCGATTACTTCAACAACAGCGACTCGTCTATCGGGATAAATTTGTCAGCGGCATCAATCAGCAATTTAGACGTCAGTGCAGGCACGCCATAAACCTCGGACGTCGTGCCAAACCGGCTACGTATTCTCTCGAGCAATACATCAAAGTCGCCGTCGCCGGAAACCAGCACCACTTTGTCGCATGCACTGGCTTGTTCGTAAACATCCAGGGTGATACCCACATCCCAATCCGCTTTTGTTGTTCCGTCTAAGCGTTTCAACACCGGCCGCAGCTTCACGGTGAATCCAATGCTGTGCAGGATATGCTGAAACTGCATCTGCTTTGCATCACCACGATCGGTGGCATAAGCGATTGCACCTGTGAGTTCACAGCCTTCACTGATCCTCGCCCAGAACGCGTTGTAATCGAAGTTGCGCTGAAAAACCTCGCGGCAGGTGTAATAGACATTTTGCACGTCGACAAAGACGCATACCCTTTCAGTCGCCTGTCCGAGATCGCTCAAGCATTTCTCCTAAAACCTAGAGCGTAGAGCATCGGTTGCTATTTTGGTGGGCTTTTTTTCAATAATTAAACGTGCTGACGGCAACAGAGTTTTAGCCAACCGCTATGCCCAGGAACCTCCGGCGTACTTCTATTCATACGCCTAAATCCGCAGATATTCGTCAATGAGATCTTCATTGAGATCATCCATGGACCCATTTGCGGCAATCGCACCACGATCCATAATCGCAAAATTATCTGCTACGCGCCGGGCAAAGGGCAATTTCTGCTCCACCAGCAGGACTGTCAGATTCATAGTTTTGTTCAGGTACAGAATAACCTCTCCAATCTGATCCACAACATTCGGCTGGATACCTTCACAGGGCTCATCGAGAATAAGCACCTTAGGGTTCAGGACCAGAGCGCGGCCAATCGCCAGCTGCTGCTGCTGACCACCGGACAAATCTCCTCCACGCCGACCAGCCATAGTGCGCAACACAGGGAACAGTTCATAAATCGAATCCGGTACTCTGCGCTGCCGCGGTTGGCTGGCTGGCAATCCGATCGCCAGGTTTTCAGCAACGGTGAGCTGTGGAAAAATCATGCGGCCCTGGGGTACATAACCAATTCCATGACGGGGGCGATACTCCGCATTACAACCTTCCAGGGCGACGCCGTTGTAATTGATCGCACCCGAAAGGACAGGCAGCAAACCCATAATACAGTCTAACAATGTCGTTTTTCCGACACCATTTCGGCCCATCAAACAAGTAATCAACCCTGATGGTATGGAAAGCGTGACATCGCGAAGCGTATGGCTTTCGTGATAGAACTGATTGAGGCCTGCAATCTCTATCATCAGGACCCCAGATAAACTCTGGTGACTTCAGGGTGTATCTGCATTTCCTGCATGGTGCCTTGGGCGAGAACAGACCCTTCATGCAGTACCGTGACGTTCTTCGCTATCGATCGGACAAACGCCATGTCATGCTCAACCACAACAACTGAGCGATCGCCGGCAAGGTCTGTAAGCAGTTGCGCCGTCCTGGCAGTCTCCTGCTCTGTCATACCGGCAACAGGCTCATCCACCAGCAACAGCTGCGGCTCCTGAGCCAGCAACATACCTATTTCCAGCCATTGCTTCTGCCCATGCGAAAGCCCGCCGGCAATGACATGTGCATCTGGCTTTAAACCTACCGTTTCCAACAGCGCATATAAGCGTTCTGTTTCATGGTCCTTGAATCGTGTAAACAACGTCGCCCACACATCGAGCTCGTCACGCAAGGCAAGACGCAGATTGTCTATCACGCTCATCTGTTCAAATATCGTCGGCTTCTGAAACTTACGCCCGATACCAGCGCGCGCTATGTCTGCCTCGGACATCTTTGTAAGATCCAGACGCTGGCCATAAAACGCGCTACCTGAATCAGGTCGGGTTTTTCCAGTAATCACATCCATGAGTGTTGTTTTACCTGCACCGTTAGGGCCGATCAGGCAACGCAACTCACCCGCATCAATGGTTAAGCTCAGACGGTCAAGAGCCTTGAAACCGTCAAAGGCTACACTGACGTCTTCCAGATAAAGGATTACGCCATGTTTCAGGTCTGGTCCTGGGACATTGGCCTTACTACGCAAAGCCAGGCTCACGACCTGGATCTCCAACGCTCAAATAATCCCACCAGGCCTTTGGGCAGAAACAAGGTGGTGAGGACAAACAGAGCACCAAGCGCAAACAGCCAGAGTTCAGGCAGCGCGGCAGTAAACACTGTCTTGGCATAGTTGACCGATATTGCGCCGAGAATTGCCCCGTGTAGCGTACCCCGGCCACCCACAGCTACCCAGATGGCATATTCAATTGAGTTGATTGGCGCAAACTCACCGGGATTGATGATGCCTACCTGGGGTACGTAAAGCGCGCCAGCTATACCCGCCATGATTGCGGAGAAGGTAAAAATCCAAAGTTTGAAGCGCTCTACTTTATAGCCCAGAAAACGCGTGCGATCTTCAGCATCCCTGATAGCAATAACAACGGCGCCCAACTTCGAACTGACAATCCAGCGACACAGCAGATAACCCACCGCAAGCGCGAGCGCTGACATCAGCGTAAAGACGACTCGAACATTGTTATCCTGCAGATCAAACCCGGCTATATCCTTGAAATCGGTCAAGCCATTGTTGCCACCAAAACCCATTTCGTTGCGGAAAAAAGCCAGCATCAACGCAAACGTCAGCGCTTGCGTGATAATCGAAAGATACACGCCGGTAACCCGGGAGCGAAACGCCAGCCAGCCAAATATAAAAGCCAGCATACCTGGTACAAACACAACCATAAGTAGGGCAAACACCAGACTGTCAAACCCATACCAGAACCAGGGCAACGCCTGCCAATCCAGGAATATCATAAAATCTGGCAGCTCAGGATTGCCGTACACACCACGGTCACCAATTTCCCGCATTAAGTGCATGCCCATGGCGTAACCGCCCAGCGCAAAAAATGCGCCATGACCCAGACTGAGGATGCCGCAATAACCCCAAACCAGATCCAGGGACAAAGCAAGCAGGGCAAAACACAGGAATTTTCCGATCAGCGTCACGCTGTAGGCAGACAAATGAAAGCTCGACCCTTCCTCGGGAATCAAGGCAAAAATGGGTGTAAGAACGACAACCAGACCCAGCAGGGAGAGCAGAATTGCGGCGGCGCGTTCTGTGGCAAATAAGGACTGCGCGCGCATCAATGATCCAACACTCTGCCTTTGGGAGGAAAAAGTCCTCGCGGACGCCGCTGAATAAACAATATCACCAGTACCAGCACAAGCACTTTAGCTAGAACTGCACCCATGGTTGGTTCCAGTACTTTGTTCAGCACACCCAGTGACAATCCTGCCACCGCAGTGCCCCAGAGGTTCCCGACACCACCGAAAACAACCACTAGAAAAGAATCAATGATATAGGCTTGCCCCATGTTAGGGCCGACATTAGTGAGTTGCGAAAGTGCAACGCCAGCAACACCCGCTATCCCTGAGCCAAGCCCAAATGTCATCGCATCAACCCAATCACCGCGTACACCGATGGCTTTCGCCATTTTGCGATTCTGCGCCACTGCACGTATTTCCAGCCCCAGCCGCGACCGATTAAGAAGCAGTAATAGGCCTGCAAAAACCAACATTGAAAACAGCAGGATATAGAGTCGACTGTACGTGAGGGACAAGCCTGCGGTAATTTCCAGCGAACCCGACATCCAGTCTGGTGTGACCACAGTTCGATTAAGGGGCGAGAATATTGAGCGAACGGTCTGCTGCAGAATAAGACTGATGCCAAAAGTCGCAAGCAGCGTTTCGAGTGGGCGCCCATACATGAACCGAATCACGCCTCGTTCTATCGCAATACCTACAAGAGCGGTTAAACAGAATGCAACCGGAATAGCGAGCAACAGGGAAAAGCCGATTGCATCAGGCATCAACACCTGCATTGCATAAGTCGTATATGCACCCAGCATAATCAACTCGCCGTGGGCCATGTTGATCACGCCCATAACCCCAAACGTGATCGCCAGGCCAATGGCTGCAAGTACTAGAACCGAGCCGAGGCTCAAGCCAAAAAAAAGAATTTCCACCCCGGAAAAGAGCTTCAGTTTATTGTCGGTGGCCGCAATAGATTTTTCAGCCTGCTGTCTGAGATCCGCCGGGGTAGCGTCATCGTCGACAATATCCTGCAGGACGCGTCGCGCTTCAGGTTCGACAATGCCAGCCAGTTCTGTCACTGCCGCGATTTGAGTTTGCAGATCATCCCGCTGCAAGTCGGCAATGGCCACCGCAGTTGCCAATGCAGAGCGAACACGCACATCAGACTCTGCTGCAAGCCTCTGCACCAGATTGTCACGTATCCCAGGAGTGGGGTTTGTTATCATTTCCTGCACTGCCGCTAACCTGACCGCTGCCTCAGGTGCAGTGAGTCGAGCAGATGCACGCAGCGCACGCAGTTCGGCACGCAAAGCATTATTGATAGCTATACGCCGCACGCCACGCCTGGTTTCAGGTGGCAGCACTTCGCCGGTGGCCGCAGCAACCAGATTGAATTGGCGGCCATCCCTGGTGGCAATCACAACTCGATCATCTGCCCGCCGACGATAAAGGTTGCCTTCCTCCAGCGCTGCCAGCACCAGATCAGCCTGGCGCTGTTCGGCACTGACCAGAATTCGAATTGCGTCTATGCGCTTCTGGTCATCTGCATCCGCAAGGGCTGCGACTGCCGCTACCGCGGTTTGACTCAACGGATCGGCAACTACCTGAGCAACAATCTGGCTTCCATACCCCAACAGGAACAAACACAGGGCGACTTTCAGGCTGTATTTTTCAATACGCTCACATCTCACTTTCCGGCGCATTGTCCGGTAGCAGTATTAAAGTTTCCGCATGACAGAGGGGCACGCCAATCGGAAATGAGATCTTTCGATCCGGGTAGATAGTCAGACCACGCATCGCCCACTACTGACCCGGGTGTCTGCCACACCACCTGAAATTGGCCATCGTTCTGAATTTCGCCGATGAAAACAGGTTTCGTGATGTGATGGTTGGGCATCATCGTGGCGTAACCACCACTGAGATTTGGCACTGTTACACCTACAATAGCTTCACCTACCGCATCAGTATCGGTGCTGCCCGCCTTTGTGACGGCCTGCGCCCACATGTTAAACCCTATGTAGTGCGCCTCCATAGGATCGTTTGTTACACGCTCTTCATCTTCAACAAATTCCAACCACTCATCGATGAAATCGAAATTTGCATCTGCTTCAACACTCATAAAATAGTTCCAGGCAGCGAGGTGTCCAACCAGTGGTGAGGTATCAATACCTGACAATTCCTCTTCACCTACCGAAAAAGCGATGACGGGAATATCAGACGCGGTCACGCCCTGATTTGAAAGTTCTTTATAGAAAGGCACATTCGCATCGCCATTAATGGTGGAGACCACAGCGGTTTTGCGCCCGGTCGAGCCGAAACTCTTAATGTCAGAAACAATAGTTTGCCAGTCAGAATGACCAAAAGGCGTATAGCTCACCCGGATATCTGTTTCAGCAACACCATTATTTTTAAGATAGGCCTCCAGAATTTTGTTGGTTGTGCGCGGATAAACATAATCAGTACCTGCAAGTACCCAACGCTTCACGCCTTGCGCCATCAGGTAGTCTACAGCCGGTATCGCCTGCTGATTGGGAGCAGCGCCTGTATAGAAAACGTTTTTAGACGATTCTTCCCCTTCATACTGTACCGGGTAAAACAGCAGCCCATTCAGTTCTTCAAAAACCGGTAACACCGATTTCCGCGATACAGAAGTCCAACAGCCGAAGACAACGTCCACCTTCTCACGTTCCAGCAGCAGTCTTGATTGCTCTGCAAATCGAGGCCAATCTGAAGCGGGATCTACAACGATCGCTTCCAGTGGACGACCCAGCAGGCCACCACGTGCATTCTGCTGTTCGACCAACATAAGCACTGTGTCTTTCAAAGTGGTTTCGCTGATCGCCATGGTGCCGGAGAGAGAATGAAGTACACCCACCTTTATAGGCTCTACAGATTCTTCGGCTTGCACTGGTACAGGGCTTTGCAAAAGTAAAAGCACCGATATCGCGCATACCCACACCTTTGCTGCCTTCTTATTGGTTGCCTGCTTTTTAACCGTTTTCATAATCTGTTTTTACCCACTAAATCAAAAATTTTTTCAACCGAAAGACACGCTTTGTTAGCGCCTTAGCCTGGTGGATAACAAGCAATAGATGGGCCAACTTTTTACGCCTCAAAATGCAGCATTCCCATCGACAATGAGACCCAAAATTGGAAAACGCACCGCGATGAATCTTTTTTAGCACCAGAAAAAAGCAATGCCCCGGATTTGGCGCGTTTTTCTCTGTTGGCTATGTAACGTCTTAGTGCGTTTCTGTATCAACCGCACTAAATAAATCGGCAGGATTCCGAAACGGGCAGGAGAATCCGCGCATTTATCTGCTTGTTAGGTGCATTTTCATATCAACACTGGCAAGAAGCAGATATATCCAGCCTATCCAATCTGGCACAACTTTTGCTCTACAAACTCCGTGCCGTGTTGCTACCGACATAAATGTCACTTAAGTCAGTCAGGAGAACCGACGCGCAACAGGAATGGTCACACCAGCTTGCAAAGCTGCGAGGAATACACATAACAAAAGGTATGGACTATGTTTAAGAAGGTATTGGGAGACACGGGGAGAATAGTAGGTGGGGGACTGTATGCATTTATTATTGCCGCCGCTGCAACCACTCTACCCCGCGTCGCTCTGGCAGAAGAGGACAGTATTATTGAGGAAGTGGTGGTCACAGGATCAAGGATCGCGCGTTCCAATGAAACTGCATCACAACCGCTGTCGCTGATAAGCGCAGAAGATCTAACCCAGGTCGGTCAAACGGATATAGGTGAGATCCTGAATGATCAACCGGCGCTGTTGTCATCTGTTACCAGCACAAATTCAATAGACGCAGCAGCTACCAATATCACAGAGTCCGACAACGTTGGCGGCGCTGCGCTGGATCTCCGCGGATTGGGTATTGAGCGCACGCTGACACTGGTTAACGGTCGAAGACACGTTTCTGGTGTTGAAGGTACATCAGCGGTGGACATCGGCACGATTCCTTCAGCTCTGATCGAAAGAGTTGAAGTCCTTACCGGGGGCGCTTCAGCCATTTACGGCGCGGATGCTGTAACCGGCGTGGTGAACTTCGTGTTAAAGGATGACTACGAAGGCATGGAGTTCAACGTACAAACCGGGCTCAGCAGTGAAAGCGACTCCGAATCTAACGCTTTCAGCGGCCTCTTTGGTAGAAACTTCAATGATGGCCGCGGCAACATTGTATTTGCAGCCCAGTATGAAACCCGGACAGGCATCCGCCAAGGCGATCGCTCTTATCTCAGCGGCAGTGGCTTATATGACAACGATACAAACCCTGAACTGAGATTCCAGAACGGCGACATTACCGCCGGAAACACGCCTAATTTCAGCCAGTACTACAACTATGACAACACAGGTCTTTTCCCTGTGGGCCTGCAGATCCCCGATGCGGATACTTTTGTCGCTGACTACACGGCTCAGTTCGGTACCGCACCAACATTGACCGCGGCAGAGCAAGCATTGATCTCTCGTGCATCTAACGCCTTTCCTCAGGTGTTCTTACCCGGACGCACATTCAACATCACCAGCCCTTATGGCATCGTTGCTTTAGGTGACTTTGGCGTTGGCGCAACGCCGCTGGGATCTGAACCAGACCTGGATGGGAATGGCGTTTCAGACTGCCTCGACAGCTTTACCGGTTACAACTCCAGTTTAGCGGGTGCAGGATCGTTTGGAGCCGCCGGAGGTTGCTGGGCCATTGACGAAAATGGTAACCCTCAACCCTATCGCGACGGCCTGGTATCAGACAATTTTAATCAGTTTGGTGCCGAACAGAGCTTCATCGCGCCAGACCGCCCCTTCGTAACTCCAGACGAGAAAAAGTGGTCTATCAACATCAATGGACGTTATGAGTTTGCCCCGGAAATGGAGGCTTTCTTCGAATCCAAATACGTTTATCAGGAGATCGACTTTGGCGGCACGGGTCACAACTTCACTGACCTGCTCTACGGCGCACCGGATAACCCGTTCTTACCTGAAGCACTGGCCGACCTGGCAAACAATGACGGCATTGGCTTCATCGGTCCCGGTGGTCTTTATGTTTCTCGCGATTCGGATGACTGGGGACCCAACGTCAGCACAAACGAACGGGAAACCTACCGCTTTGTTGCTGGCCTGCGGGGCGACTTTGACGATCTGGGTTTGAGCTATGAGGTATCAGCCAACTACGGCAAGTTCACACGCGAACTGACAGACCGCGAAGATATGATTGCAGATCGATTCTTTGCCGCGATTGACGTGGTAACGGATCCTGCAACAGGTGAAGCAGTATGCCGCTCCGACCTTGACGCAACAGCCTATCCGCGCACAACACCCTTCGACATATTTTCATTTGTTGGCGGCGGTGTAAACTCTTCCTTCTTCACCTTCACACCGGGTGATGGCCAGTGCCAACCAGCAAACATCTGGGGTGGTCGCGGTGCGATCAGCCAGGAAGCACTCGACTTCATGACCTACGAGCGCGAAGTAAGTGATGAAATAGAGCAATTGGTATTCAGCGGCTTTGTCAGTGGCAATACCGAACAATGGTTCAGCCTGCCTGCGGGCGGCATCAGCTATGCGATTGGTGGTGAATGGAGAGAAGAAAAAAGCGCTCAATCTTACGGCCGCTACGATCGTGGCATCGTCTCCGTTGATGGCGTGACCTCCGACGGCACCCCCTTCTCTGCAGGCGACTTCGTTGGTGATATCAGCAACGCAGGCAGCCTGGGTGAAGACCCTTCTATCACCCTTCTGAGCGGATCTGCTGAATACGATGTCTGGGATGTATTTGTCGAGGTGAACGTACCTTTATTGGCTGACCAACCGTTTGCACGGGAACTGAGCGTAGATGCCGCATGGCGCCGATCAGACTATTCAACCTTCGGATCGAATACGACGTACAAGTATGGTGGTGTCTATGCACCCGTTGATGACGTTCGCTTCCGTGGCTCTTACAGCCGCGCGGTTCGTGTACCCAACATCTTCGAATTATTTTCGCCGGATCAGGGCGCCTTTTTCCGACCTGCCGATCCATGTGACGCCACTTTGATTGGGTTGTCATCGGATCCCGCAAACCGAGAAGCAAACTGTGTTGCTGGCTTGCAGGCAGTCGGCGTTGTTGATGCAAACATTTTTGCACCCGATGGCAGCTACGCTTTTGAAGACCCTCTCTCAGCAGGATTTCCAGGCTCCGTTGGTGGCAACCCTGATTTAGAGCCGGAAGAAGCAACAACCAAAACCTTTGGTCTTGTGTTCACCCCGACGTTCATCGAAAACCTGGTTTTCACCGTTGACTACTGGGACATTGAAATTGAAAGCGCGATTGCCAATATTTCCGCACAGAACATCGTCAACAGCTGTTACGACTCAGCCAGTTTGAACAATACCTTCTGCGGATTAATCGAGCGCAACGCGTCTCCAACCTCAGCACAATCAGGCGGCCTGACCTTCCTGCGCCAGGCGAAGCTCAACTTCGGTGCTGCTGAAGCCGCCGGCTTTGATTTCTCGTTAGCGTACGGTTTCAATATCGGTGAATTCAATTTCGACTTTTCGACGGGTGTGACCAAACAGACCAAGCTCGACTTTATCGAACCTGCCAGCGACGGTGGCGCGGCAACTGTTGATGACGAACTAGGGGAAAGCAGACGCCCTGAATGGTCAGGCCTGGCCAAACTATCAATGATGTATGGCCCCCTCACAGTTGGATGGCAGACTCAGTACCTTTCTGAACAGGTGCTGGCTTATGAGGACGGCGCAGAAGTGGAAACCGTGAAGCAGAACTTTGGCCCAAGTGGCTTCAGTGATGACACCTACATTCACATTCTGACGGGCGCCTGGAACATTACCGATACCATCACGGTATACGGTGGCGTCGATAATGTATTGGACGAAAGACCGTTCAAAACAGAACGTGCTTATCCTACCGGTCCACGCGGACGATACTTCTTCCTGGGTTTAAACGCTCAGCTGTAGGTCTCTGAAGACACCCTGCAAAAGTGGCCAGCAACAGTGCTGGCCACACCTTCCCTTGTCTGTCGTTATCTTCTAAATCATCAGTTCTACGACGCCTCGTCTGCTGCCAGGCGATGGATATAGGTCGGGCTCTGGCCAGCCTGTCAGCAATTCTCTACACTCAATCGAAAACGGGCTGAAGGGGAAGCCAATGTTACTGCTGACCAGATTTAAAATACCGCTGATTACTATCGCAATGCTTGTCGGCACTGCCGCTCAGGCAGAGATCGAACGCACGCCATCCGGCAAACCTGATCTGTCAGGTACCTATGACACCGGCATTCTTACCCCAACCGAGCGCCCGGAATGGTTAGGTGAAATTGAGTACCTGTACCCCTGGGTGGCCAACTCGCTGAACTGGGTGTTCAGCGTGGTTTCAGATTGGGCTATCAATAAAGAAAGTGACCCGGACCGTGAAGCACCACCCGAAGGTGGTGACGGTAACAATATGGCTGGCGCTGGCGGCGTTGGTGGCTATAACGCTTTCTGGGTGGATCCTGGCAGTTCGCTGGGCACCATCAATGGCAATGTGCCTACTTCCATCATCTATGACCCGCCGAACGGTCGTTATCCACCTGTAGTAGAGGGATTGAACGAACGTGTTGGCGAGCGTTATCAGAGTTTCCTGCATGAAAACACAGGTCAGGCCACCTGGCTGGACTACGATGGCCCCGGCCCCTTCGATGGCCCGGAAAGCCTGGCACCGTCTGAGCGGTGTCTGATTTCTTTTGCATCAACGATACCTACCCTGCCAAGTCTGTATAACAACTACAAACGTATCATCCAGACTGAAACCCATGTGATGATTCTGCACGAGATGGTGCATCACGCTCAG